AGACAAATATAAATATTAAAATTTTAGATTATTCCTATAGGTTTGGATTCATAGGGCACAATGAGACCACAGAACCCAGCCTTGGTTTGAGACCATAAGTTACTTGGTTTAGCAAAAGAAGGCCATAGAAGAATCTCAGGATATTTAATGCCTTTACTCAAAAGGAAGTCAAATTTCTAACAGTTTCAGCAGTCCAGATTCTAGACTCTGCAACAAAATACTAAACCTAAACATACATATCAACACATAGTGAAAGCAGAGATGTCACAGTGGACTTGAGTTTGAGGAGGCGACCTAGGAAGGGAAGCCAGCACATGCGCTCCTGAGGCTGCCTGCATCTCATAAGAAAGACCACAGTGACCAGCAGTCATCTCTGTCCAGGAGAGGGCACTAGGTCAGTAGCACATAAGGACCAGGTGACTTCATAATTGGTATTTAAAAATTGGGATCCCCATTCAAACAACCACCGTACTTCAGGTCTGCTGATCAAAAAATGTCTATGCACTTAGCATAGATATTAATGCATCTATCATTTAAATTTATCTGCTATTAATTTCAATAGTGAATTTCCAGGTCTTTTTGCTACCCAGGGGTTTGTGGTTCACAATTTAGAAATTACTGAATTAAACTCTTCTCAGGAGGGTTCTATATCTAAAATATGAAGAATCTTCACTGATAATAATTTTTAATGTACAAATTGCATTCCATGTGTAAATTTAAGGAGAGCACAGAAGTATACAGCATATCTTTGAAAGAGCTCATGAAAGTTAATTTGAGTCAAATTTTGGTGCAGGAGGCAGGCTGCCTCTGTAATTCACTGTCTCCTTCACAGCGAGAATCATCTTTAACCTGCCAAGGAGATGTTGGTCTGGCCTCCCAAACCTCCCTTTACCTATAAACCCTGTTATTTCTCTTATTACGAGGTAGTTCTACTTAATTTTCTTCGAAGAGCACTAAGTATCCTGAAAAACCTCTTATCTCAATAATTAAAAATCAACAATATGCAATATATTAACCATTATTAATTTCCTATTGTTTTGAAATTCTGTATCATTGTTTTTATTGGGGTTTTTTCCTCTTTAAAATAAAAAAAGCATTGGTCAGGGGAAATGAAAACACGATCAGATTCTAGGCTTTCAAGGAAATATTGTAAAGAACAGAATCCAGAGCCAGGCATCATATTTTCCCTAAAAATATATCGCAAAGGGTCTCACTGATCACGCAGGAGATGAAAAAGAAGAAATTACAAGGTTGGAAGACTTGACTGGTCCTGAGTAGGACCAAGTTTATCACCAAATAAGAAGACCCTTTGTATTTCTGTCCCACTGTTAACTGCTGTAGCAAGGTTATTTTGGGGTGCTTTTTTTTTTTTTGGTATTTTAGCTAGACTTAATACTTATTTCACTTTGAAGTCACTTGAATTTATAAGTGTTCTCAATATGGTAGTGTCCTGATGGTGCATTTAAGGAGACCTACATAGAGACTTGAAATTTCTCAGAGAGAGGTCTAAAAATATAAGCATAATGAATGTGTGCTATACCCAATACCAAATATTGGTTCCATTCATTCAAGAGCAGAAGAGGCGATGTGCAGTATGATTTTGAATATAATGAATCCATCACCCTGATGATCCATCACTGTCACAGTCACACACAGAGTACCAGTTTAGGACCTCAGTTCTGCTGGCGCTCGCCAATTTCTGACCTATGTGGCAATTCTGTAAAGGCGCCCTGGTTCGGCAGCACTTATAACCATGGGATAGCTGATGTCTGAAGGAGTCATTAGCTATTGGCGACGACACTGCAGTCAACAAGCAGCCACATTCAAAAGCCTCTGGCCAGAATTGTTCCGGGGCAGCTACCACAGCTAAAAAGCTATTCAGAAGTCTGTTTTTACTGCTCGTTCCTCCCTGACTCATAGAGAATTATTTTTTCCTCCACCACATATGCACATCGCCTCCTCAGTGTCACCGCTTCAGATGAGCTTTTTAAAAAACAACAACAATAAAGCCAGCCATGGGCATAGGTGCCTGACCTCTGGTCACCTCATTAACTGCACAACCGTGTGGCCCATTTTCTTGCACCTTCTCCTGCCCGTGACATTTATTATTCCCTCTGCTGCTTGCTATAAAAAGAAAAGACCACATCACTCTAGAACTCCAAAGTCAGCTTCACACTCACCACTGTCTTCACCCTGAGTCCTGTCACCACGCAGTCTCCACTGCAGAGGACGACAACCTGCACTGGCCCCGGCCCTCAGTTCTCTCTGCAGGAGGGAGGCATTTGCCCACATGAATTGATCTTGGTTCAGTGTGATGCTCAACCCAGCTCTGAACCTCAATGCCAGTCAGAAGCTCCATGCCAGGAATGGTGCTTGGTGGCTCCCAGGGAGATGATCCTGGGTTAGGTGACCACTGAGGAGAACCAACAGGCTCCTTTGATAATACGGAGGAGATGGAGCCTTTGATTAAAAAAGTCATAAAACAAGGCCGTGGCACCTCAGGCACAATTGAGTTTTTGTTGTTGTTGCTTTTAGAGGCAGAGGTCAAGTTCATGTCCTGTGGCCTGTGGCTTCAGTTAAGCTCAGGACAATGTTTTCTTAAAAGCTGTGCCTGATACGTGTAGGTTCTTACATGCAAATCTCTGTGAGATCATTAAGTCCAATTAAATATTTAGTCCCAAATCGCAATAGCCAGTGGAGTCCTGGAAGCTTGGTAGCCTCTCCAAGGATGCGCCTCAGTAGTGGTAGGAAAGGGGTGATTTTAGGAACACTTTAGGTGCAAAGAAGAAAACCAATGCCATCCTATAATGGAATTCAGCTGCTGTCTACGTCCAACACTCTTCTCAGCACTCAGAGATGAGGAGTGCTGAGTAACACTAACAGTAACAACCCTGGTTATCAGTTATCAATTCAGTTAATGCCTGCAGGCAGCTAATACTGGGGCCCCCGCCAGCTCAGAGCCGGGGGCCCTCTTTGGCAAAGCCATTTCTACATTTGGGGCCTTAATCCCAGCTGAAGAATGGCAGAGGGACCCCGTTTCCACTTGAGGCACACCTGACTGACCTCTCACAGAGCCCCCAGGTCGGAGAGGTGCCAGGAAGCTGAGCCGTCCAAACTGAAACGTCCCCGTGCTCAGCTCAGCCTTAAACAAGTCTGCCCAGTTTTGCGTAAACATGGAGACAGGCATGAAGCAGATTTTCTGAATGTCTGGCTTTTCTTATTGGCTTCCCTCTTCATTTTTACTGCTGCTTCCTTTTTACTTATTTATTTTTCTTTCTTTCCTCCCTCCCGCATTGCTAATTCTGTTCCAACCAGGTAGCCCTGCATTTTCCAGGGAGCCTATTAAAAGAGTTTCTTCACTCATCTACTTAGTGAATATGCAAGCAATTTGAGGTCATTTTTTAAAAAAGCAATTTCCCCTTTGCATATTTTTAAGGTAGATGATGATTCCTTGCTTTGGATACAATTTACTCAAATTAGCAATTTCTCGGGTCACAAATACCAGCCCAGCGGCTCCCTTTTCTTCTTCTTCTTCTTTTTTTTTTTTTTTTTTTTTTTGTTAGGGAAGAAAGTTGCAGTGTTTCGGATCCCTGTGCACTAAGGCGGCCCCCCGGCCACCTGGGGCCAACTGGAAATGGTGACCATGTGGGAGCCTGGTCACCACATGCTGATCATCAACAGCCCCACCCACTATAGCCCACTATAGCCCCACCCACTATAGCCCACATTTTTTGGCAACACCTTTCGACTGTAATCTTTATCTTTTAAACAGTGATCATCCATCGATTCAGACCTTTCTGAGGGTGCTGGCCCAAAAGGAAATCAGCTTTAACAAAAAGCCAGGACCCTTCGTCATTGGGGTATCTGGTCTACCTACTGAAGACCACAGAAAGGTCAATGCCACAAAGAAGTACAAATCCAAAATTGGGCGAGCGAGTGTCTCCCCGAGATGGAATTTAATGGCTTCCCTGAAAAATGTTTTAAAATGCATGTGGCTCAATTCCATGTTAGCACAGCAGCAGTCAAAATAAACCGGACCTGTCAGGAACTGGCACTGAGAGACTGTTATGAATAGACTTATTTTGTGAAGTTGTCACTTTACACACCCAGAAAAACCAACCAAGAGTAACCTTGGCTCCCTCGGCAATGATGTTGGTTAAATACCTCCTTTGAATGCCTTCTGTTCAATTTGGCTAGTTATGTGAATTTTGTTGCTATTTCCTAGTTTTCTGGGAAAGAAATTAAAGACCAGGGCTGCGCAGATGTTGCCCACAGTGCGGAAGGGCCGAACATGCTGGTAAAACCCATGCCCGGCTAAGCAAGAGCCCTCGGGCTTCTGAATGAAAGCCTTGTTACCTGGAAGTGTTTGCAGTGTACAACTTGGCAGGAACCTAGGAGGCCAAGGGGAAGAATTGGCCCTTTCACCCAGAGCTGCCGGTGTCCTGCACCCCAGGCCATGTTAGTGCTGGGAACCCTCACTGAGCTGGTGCCAACCTCCAGCGCTGTGTTCCCCGATTCCTGATCAGAGGCATCAACTCGCACCCCGTAGTTCAGCCCTGCCTGTGTCCCTAATGGTGACTGGCCTGCCATCCTTCAGGAAGTCCTCCCTGACAGCGCCAATAACCAGAGTTTGTGCTTTCAAAAAAATAAATTGTCCAGCATGTTTTCTCCACTTTGGGCAGATGGCCATTTGACTGAGGCGTGTGGATCCTTGTGCAGGGTTAGAACTAAAACCCATGCACGCCATATACCAGCTAAGCCAGGTGTGAGGGTCACTGAGATTTGGCTTCCTGGGAGCAACCTGGCCCACCAAGAGGTCCCCACAGCACCTTCTTAAACCCTCTGGAGAAAAGGACCCTGCCAGGCCTGCATCCCACCTGTTCTGCCACAGGCAGAGTTATAAGGCAGTTAGGGTACCTGGGGTGCAAAGGTATTTTGGAATCTGCGTCCCAGGCTAAAGGGGGGGGAATAACCTATTTCATTTTATTTTTTTTTTCCAGTTCTCTCAGGCCAGGCACACCACAGCCCTTTGAAACGATCTGTGTCCCTTACCCCACCCATGAATGTGCCAAACCAGCCTCTAGGACATGGATGGATGTCTCATGAGGACTTACGAGCTAGAGGACCCCAGTGCCTCCCCTCCGATCATGCCCCCCTGTCTCCACAAAGCAGTGTAGCCTCTTCAGGAAGTGGTGGGAGTGAACACTTAGAAGATCAGACCACTGCTCGTAACACATTCCAAGAAGAAGGTAGTGGTATGAAAGGTGAGTGACCACCGAGGGACCACGATGTCCCTCCCTTTGTTTGGAGTTGGAAGGGTAAACAGGAGCTAGTCAGCAAGAGAGAGAGAGCCAGGCCAGCCCCTCACCCGGAGCCTGCAGCTGCCAACCATCCCCATAGGCTGGCCCTACAGGAAAGGGCCTAGAACCCCTTCCAGCTGAGCAACGAGCTCAGCACCCCCAGACGAGCTCCTGAATCCCACTCACTGGCAGGGACAAGGGATCATCTGTCCCTAAACCCACCGAGCTGCTTCAGCCCCTGCCCTGCTGCTGTGGCCGGGGCCTGTCACTAATTCAGAAAAACAAACCAATGATCTGATTTTTCTTTTCCTTCCTAAATGTCTCAGGGCAGAATTGCTTCCTCTCTCCCTTTTTCTTTGATATCCAAAGAAAACTCTCCACCCTTTTCCTTGCCTGGGCCATGAAAACACACCAAGAAGGCCTGACAGTGATCTAAGCCTGATTACGGATTTCACATAGGTGAGAAAGGCCTTTTGGGTGGCCTAAACAGAGGTTGCTGGAAATCTCCCGTGTCTCCTGAAGACTCTCATCAGGAGATACAGATTTCCAAATCACCCATGATAGGCTTGAGAAGCATATGAGATGTTCCGTATTTTTAGACTCTCGTTGTTCCAGGGCTCCAAGTTTTGGGGGAGAGGTGCTTATTAGAGACAGAAGCATAGCAACGGGCAGTGGAGAGACGGGAGCCAGGCTGGCTTCGGGGACTCCAGTACCGAGAGGACATTCACAGACCTGGGGTTTGCTGCTCTGGTCCTTCCCCTTGCAAATTGCTGGCCATCAACATGAGAGACTCAGTACCCAGTCTCCTGCTACCTGGTGCCAGCAGCTGAGAAACACAGCCCTTTGATCTGGGTCTGCCCTATACACCCACTCCCCATCTGCAGTGGCCCCTGCATTGAGGGTTCTGAGCAATTACACAGGGGCTCACCCTTTTCCTCTGATAGGAAAGGGTCTTCACCGGTGTGTAACAGACAGCAAATGCTGTTTCAGGTATGGAGGAGATGCCGGTCCTCTCTCTCCTTTACTGTTTCCAGGGGCTGCACCACCATTTTGGAGAAAGCACAAAACACTCTTGAGTTTATGCTGTGAGGTTTCTAGGCAGTGGGGAGGCTCAACCATGCTCTTGATAGGCTTGGCTTGGTTTCTGTCACCGGGCCTGAGGTGCCTGAGGAAATGTCCAGCCAACTTCTTTGCAGGTTGGCATCCCAGTGGCCTGTATGTGAGACCCGGGCCTGTGAGGACCCTGGCAGCAGGGGGCGTCTGAGGAGAGACCTTTCAGCCCAGACAAAGCCCTCCCTGGGAAGAAAGCTGATCCCATCTGGCTTCTGGATATTTGTTTTCTTTCTTCCCTTTCTTTTCTTTTTTCTTTGTTTTGTTTACTTTTTTTTTGAGGCCCTCTGTCTACCTCACACATTCTCCCAAAATAGGTAGATATTCATTGTGAGCAGACATTTTGAGGTAAGAAATGAATAAAGATATTCCCCAAAGGACATGAATGAGAAAATAACCGAATCCAATCCTTGTTTTAGGCTAAAAGCCGAAATTTGCCAAAGTTTCAGGTCTATCCCATGGTTACTTGGTAAGAATTATCTCCTCAGCCTTTATTCAGTCAGAAAATGACACAGACAAAAAATGGCATCTCTAAGACTTTCTTTGTAGGCCCATAGTTTTTGGTCACAAAATGGGTTATCTGGTGCCTATACAAAACAAAAGACCCCTTTTCATGTATTCCTACCTTTTCTGAACCTTTTTCCTACCTTTTTTTTTTTTTGACATTTCCTTCTCTCAAAGAATTGGATAAGGAGTCAAAGTATGAATCATAGTGAGTTAAATGGCAAATTTGAGTGAACTGAGTGAAGGAACATTTTAGATGATGAAGGATTCTACTTGTTGAGAAGTATATTTGAGTTCAGTTGACAGGTTAGGAAATGGAAATGTCCACATCAGAAACATTAGGATTCCAAAGTGTCAGGGGGCCAGTTATTACCAAACCCCTGTGCTTTACCCCACCCTGCTAGGATGCATCCTCTTCTTTGGCAGGTTATTCAATGCAATGCTCTAGAAGTGTGGCCAAGAAGCAGCCCTTAACACACCCATCCCAAGGGCTTGTTGTTTGACTGCCTTGTCTAAGAGCAGATGCTAGTTTAAATTTCCAAATTAATGCACTCTTGTTTTTTAAAGAAATGCACCATGAAAATCAAATGAAGTGCTTCTTTCAAAAGCCAGGTCTTTCTCTTGGACCTACGTCATTTCCTTCTTGTGACCCAGGACCTGGGGCAGGACTAGGGTCCACACCTATTCAGGATGACATCCTTGAACTGCCCAGTTAGATGAACAGGGAGTCTGCAGTAGAGCCTGGTTGAATCCGCAGGTCTTCAGGAAAGGCATTTGCCTAGATGTTGTACCTTAGGGAAAGAACAGAAAGTCACCGTCGCTGAACTTGTCTTGGTGTGAATTTGTCTCTCTGGCCAACAGGTGTGCAGAGCTTGCTGGAATAGTATCTTCATCCTTTCCTTCCTCGTCAGCCAGACCGACTAGCCAGCCTTGGCTACAGTCACCCTTTCGGAATGTACCTCTCGGGTCAAGAATGTGGAATAAACTCTTCTCGCTGTTTATCCTTCACATGCACTGCTCTAGCCCTCTTTCTCCCTGATGTTGGCACACCCTGCCACTAAGTTCTTTCCCAGGTAGACCAGCTGCTGCTGCTCAAAAGAGTAATACCATCTGCCTAACTGCTGCGTGTTTCCTTTTGTAGTAAAACCTACCCTGGTGGTTTAAGTTGGTTCCAAGTTCAGACTGACTGTCCCTTCCCTCTGCAGCGGGCTCAGGCACCGTCCTCAGGCTAAAGGAAACCTGGGATCGGCCATTCAGCTTGAAACTAACCCAAGAGGGGCGGGGAATGAGCTGGAATATGAAATGTTCCTCCCTTCCCCATTCCCCATGGAGGCTACTGGTTGTACATGTTTAGACTGACTATGATAGTTGTGGTTTCTAAATCCAGTTGTTCTTGTTCTTAGACTTTCCCTGTGATCTATAGAGACACCAATCCTGAGTTCTTCCCTTCCTGAGCAGCATGGGGACAAAAGCTGCTCTAGTTCTTCTCTCACATGAGGGCTTATGGTAGAGGGGCAGTGATTCCCCTAATCTCCCAGAAAGCAGAGCGATCACTTGGTGGAGGGATCCTATTTGCCACTCACATCTCCTGCTCAGTGATGCTATTGACCTGTGTGAGACTTTAAGAAAGCCAGGACTGTTGATGAATGATGTGCCCAGGGGAGGAAGGGTTCAGCGGTTCACTGTGGTCCTCGGTGAGGTCAGTGATGTGTCTGAGTTCCTGCAGAGAAGCTTGGACAAGTGGCTCTGGGGCCCCATTCTTCTAGAGCAGCCAGCGGGTGCCTAATGCAAGGCACTGCTGTGAAGCTGTACTGTCTTGGAGACTCGCCCTGGGTTGGGGCAGGCACCAGAAAGGGTCCTGATTCAATGAGAGGGGAAAGCAGGGAAAGTACCTGGAGGTGAGCAGCCTGGCGCAGAGTCTCAGCGTGATTAGCATGAAGGTTTGATGCCCTGTGCAGAGGATGGGGAGAGAAGGGGAGGGGAGGGCTTAGCCCAGGAAGCCCTGTCTGTCTTTTACCCTGCAATGATTGAAGGATTTCCTTCAGCAGAATCGCTGAGATTTGTGTAGTAGAGAGGGAGCTTCAAAGCAATGTGGAAGCCGGACCTTGCTGAGGAGGAGAGAAAGGTGCTCCAGATGTGGAGGCCAGCAGAAAGGTAGAGAATGTTTCAGTAACTGGCGAGGGAAAGGAAGGTGGACCCAGGCAAGCAGCAGTGGTGGTGGAGGCGGAGGACTGGTGACGACAGTGCAGGGGAACTTCCTGAATGGGGACAGTGATGGTGTGGGAGGCGTCTAGATTGATGCCCAGGTTTCGGCCTGAGACATCTGGATGACCCTTGATGTCACCTTCCAGCAAAGGATGCACAGGACGAGAAAGAGGATGGGGACAGCTTGGGGCATGGTGAATGTGGGGAAGGGTGCACGCCCCTCAGTGTCGTGGATGGGAGTGTGACTGGTGCTGGGTTCTCTTCTCACTATTACCAATCAATATCAGCTGGGCGTACTCACAGCACATGGCGCAGACGTACAGGTAGGGACCGAGATTGATGTTTTATTTGTATAGAGATGTGATAACCAGAAAAGGTAGAACCCTTGGCTCCTGCAAGACACATAACAGTGAAGAGTGGAGGTGGCCAGGACTTGAATATGTGGTCTGCCTTTTCTGAGCGTTCTTTCTTAGATAAGGAACTTGGGGAAACTTTCTCTGTAGCAGAGAAAATAAATCATCTACTCTGAAATAGCCAGTGTGAGGCTTGGAGGTGTTTTTTGAAAGGTAGACCTTTAGTCCTCTGCCTGTCTTGGAATGAGGCTAGAAAATTATTGAGAGGTGAGATGCTCTTGAAGGAAAGGAAACCTGTCTGAGCCCTTTGGAGGAGTGGTGGTGAATACTGCACCTCTCAGGGCCATAAAGAGCCGAGTGATGGAGTGGGAATGACACCGCCCCCTGAGTGCCCCGGTCACCTTTCAGCATGTCTGTCACTGAAACTAGTCATTACTTTCTGAATGTTGACTTCCAGGTGCTGTCGGGACCTCATGTCATCTGCACACATCTGCTGCCTTTTCTTTATCTCCGAGTGTCAGTATGTGACCCGCACGGATGGGTCCTTGCTCATTGATGCTCATTGCTCATTGATGTCTTTGAAAAGTGAATCCCTAGATTCCGCCCAGGTCCTAAGGCCCTGCGATTTGTTACCTCCACTACTGGCCCAGATCAAGAGATTTCAGGAGGGTGCCGTTGTGCAGAGAGCAGCTTCAAATGCAGGGCACAGTCACTGTTTCATGATGCAGGACAGCTTGTGGAAGAGCTTGTGGACATCGTGGTGAATGGGAACAGCAGAGAGACAGTCGCTTCCTCTGTCCACATCATACACCTCACAGTGGACATTTCCCCCAAACTAGCCAGCTCTGTGCCTCCCTAGACCCATCTGTGTCCCTGTGAGCTTGGAACCCCTCCTGTAGCCCACCATGGACGTGTCCCAGGGTCAGAGAGCCTGCTGGGGAGGATTCACTGCAAAGGGCCAGAGACCAGGCTTCCTCCAGAGGCCGGGACATAGGCTGCTCATTCACTCTGAGATAAAGATAGGCTTTGGCCATCTTGATGGTGTCTCTGAACTGCTTTTTGTTCCTGTCCTGCTTGACAGTGAAGAGTTGGCACCTCCTCATCTCTTGGCTGGCTTTCTTCCTCTATCCCTCAGAGACAGTGATGCAGTCCTGTCTGGGAGAGAGGGAGCCCTTTGTGATTAGCCTGGCTCTCCAGGAGCGCCGCACATGAGCCCTCCCAGGGGAAGCTGGGTGAGCTCTTACAGCTGGGTCTCCCTTCTCTCTGTGCCACTCCCGCTCTCGGCCCTCGCTCGTTCTGTCCCTCTCCTCCTCCTCCCTCCTGGGACCTTTTTATGTGTGACTGGGTGCCCCATGCCCTGTCCACCAAGCTGACACTTGCAGCCATTCCTACTAAGGGAAAGAAGCCCAAGGTCTCCTTGGAGCCCAGAGCCTGCGTGAGCATTGGACACCCCATAGCTCCTCTCTGCCCCTGACTTGGCCAGACTCTAAAAGGAAAATAGAAATGGGCACAATTTAAAATGTGACCCCTTTGGTAAAAACCTGCAGGTAAATATAGAACATACACAAGACAAGCGTAGCACTGTTACCAAACATGGCCAGAAGAAGATAAACCAGAGTGGACTGCAGTAAGGCCCTGAAGGGGCTTCACGAGGGATGTGGACTGGGGCGTGGGAACCACTGTCATGTGCATGGAGACAGTGGTGCTGTCACCCAACGACTTCCTACCTGCTAAACTGCTTTCCTACCTTGGCCCCAGAAAGCCGGGTGGCTCCTCGTGACTTTTGGTATTTCTCGCTTGAATGATCTCACCTGAAGCAGCCACAGGGCGCTACTGACAAGGCAGGGTGTTCTCCAGCTCAGACCTCCCTTCCAAGAGCTTGGCCAGTTGACGTCTTCCCCATCTGACCCAAACCAGAGACACTCAAGTGATCAGAACAGTTCACGTGTCTTCCCCAAATCCACTGGTCGCCCATGTGACTCACCAGACCTGAGCCAAAGGAGCCATCCTTGGCTCCTCTGTCACTTTCAGTCCCTGCTCTTCGCTGATCATCAAATACCATTGTGTTCTACCCTTTCCTTCTCCTCTGGTGCCTGTCCCAGGCCTTGTACCCGTGTCCCGGCCCCCTCTCCAAGTTCCCCCTGACAGCCTCATCTTCCTCCCAGACCCACCTGATGGTGCTTCTCCTGCGCCCCTTCCAGCACCTTCTCAGCACCCACAAGATGCTGTCTACTGTCATCACCTGAGGGTCTCCTGTCTCCGTCATCCAACACCCCTGCCTGGGTGTCCTCCTCTCCAGCCATTCTCCACCATTCCCGGGAGCATTTGCTCTGCCCGGGATGCCCTGGGCTCTGTGCTTTGTTCCTCCTATGCCAGCTTCCTCAGTCTTCCCAGTGGACTCTAGGTTGCTGCTACTGCAGGCAGCAGGTTGCGAGAAGCAGTCCTCACTCCCTGCCACAACCCCAAGCGCTCGATCTTCCCTGCTGCTCTGGAGCTCTGAGCGTGCTCAGGCCTGTGTTGTGGCCACTGTCCTTTAGGAGTGCGTGAACCAGCCATGCTTTCTGGGTAGAAAGCTCCTTACTGGCAAGAACACGTCTTCCTCAAGCCCGGCCCCCACGGAGAGTGCCCTGGCGCCTGGCAAGGAGTCCGCCTGGCTATCACCAAACAGCTTTCCCTTTCTCCCTCTCCTGGAGAGTGACTTTGATCTCTGGGACCTCCAGCAGTGTGTCCAGCTGCGTATCTGCTGGAAAGGGGGTGCCCTGAATGTATGTGCGCCTTCCGTTACCTTCCAGCCTCTCCCGTTTGCCTGCATCTTCCAAGCACAGCTGCAGGGCTGGTGCAGGGGATCTGAGGTTGCAGTCCGTGCTTAACAGCATCCAGCAGGGTGCCAGATGGGCCTTGGGAAGGGCCCCGGCTCTCGGAGCAAATCCTCGACCACATCTCATGGAACCTAGCATCTGAGTCACCAGGATTCCTGGCCAAGGCAGTGGCATCGTCACAGCTTGGGGGTCTCTGGTTTGCTTCCCTCTTGAAGCAGTTTTGCTTCATTCCCTGATGGAGGAAGGTGCCTCACCACCCGGCAGGGAGGGGAAGGTTGGCAGGCTCTGTTCTTCAGAGCTGAGACTTCCTCGCCTGTGCCCTTCAGGTCTGGCTGCAGGAAGCAGAGAGCCTGGGCAAGGCGTCCAAGCCAGGCACAGAGATGCTTGTTGCCCAAAGGGCGGCACCCTATGCCCACCTTGGGGAACAGGCCAGGGAGCTTGAATCTCCCGAAAGTCACCGTTGAGAAAGGCTTAACACATGCTGGTGCAGTCTCTCCCAGGAAACTGGCTCCCAGGACCTGTATTTTGATGAAACAAGTGAGCTGGCCTCTCCCGGGCCCCTCTACAGTGGGACCTGGCTTCAGAACAGTCACGCAGGAAAGAGCCACCCTGGGAACTGCCCCTCTCCCTTCTTGACTCGGGATACCCCTTCGTCACCTAGGATTCTAGAGCTTCCATTTTCTGTGACTCTGAGCTGTAGGGCACTCGGTGAAAATGTGGTCTGTCGGGTTGGTCCTCGCTCTTTCGTGAGCACTGTGGGCTACCCAGACTTTCAGTCCCGATGGTGGCATCTTCTGATCCATGACCTGGGACTTTTCAAAGGAGCAAACAGCACCCATGCATCTGGCGACAGAGCAGTTGGGTATGTGCAGTGGGTCTGGAAGCTGGAACTGGAGCAGAGACCCACATGCGGTGGGGAGTGGTCTGCAGGAAAAGCTCCAGGATGTCTGTCACGGGAGGGACAGTACCAGGCTCCAGAGCTGCTGCATCCCAGGCTCTGACTCTGATGGCATCTGAATTGCATGCCCATCTGGGGATGGTATTACATGCCTGGGGAGTACGGTGGTTCATGATGGCCCCTGGGGACCCTCTTTCTTCACAGTAGATTAAAAGCCTTCCAAGCACAAAACCAAGTGATTTCCTAGACTGAGATAACTGTGTTTGTTCTTAAAATGCCATCCAATGTCTAATTGAATTGTCTGGAAATTCCTCTGCATTTGGCTTTCATGAATTAATCACAGCAGCCCACGCCCCACCCCCACCCCACACCCCGGCATTGCAGGAGTGTGGCCCCAGTCCTCCTCCCCTAGGCCAGGAGGCACAGCCTGATTTCAGAGTTGGCCAGGCGTTTCTTCCACCCCACATACCTGCTCTCGACATTGAAAAATCATAGGGTTCTCACCTGTTTTCAAATGCAGGTGGTTCATTGGTACCTCAGAATCAAACACTTAGCAATCAGTAGTACAGAATTTTGCAATCAGCACAGTTAGTAACAGATAATACTGCATAGAAAGCATGCCTAACACCCAGTGCATTAACTCATCCAAGTGCTCTGAATCTTGCTCTGTTTGGTCCTTGTTTTGTGAAAACTGATACATTATAGAAAAGAGCCGTTATTTGGCAGACTCCAGTTCTAGACTGCCTTTCCCCGCCTAAGTGCCCTGTGATCCAGGCCTAAGGACATTGTTATCATCTCTCAACTAAGCCAGGAGTGTATGGTGATTCTGGGAAATTTTCAAAGACCCTACAGCTTTGAAAGTGCTGATCTAAAACACAATGGGCAAAGCCTTTGTTTCGTTTGTCCACAGTGAGGTAATCATTCTCTGGATTTTCAAATGCAGTTACTTTTTAACTTTCCTAACTCTAGTATCTGGGGTTATTTCACATGTGCTTTGACATTTCCGTTATCACTGGGTCTGGCCATGCTTTGATCTTTCACGTCACGGTTGACTCTCAAGGAAAAAGTCAAAGCTCCATCCACATTCTATACCTTGGAGAAGCGATCAGACCCCGCCCTAAGACAGTGCTAGTGCTGGGGTCCAGGAGGCCCTTCGTCCCACGGGGGCCTAGGCAGGCAGGACAAAGTTCAGGCTAGGAATTCCAGTCACTCCACACACGGGGTGCAAGTGCTGCTCGGCTGGCTTCTCTCTGTGGAAGTGGCCGAAACAGAGTCCGGGGGCCACTGAAGCTACCTTCATCCCGAGATGTAGCCTCATCATGTCTAGTTTAACACCTACGTGGGTTCTTCCCAAATGGACAAGGAAGTGACCCCAACCAAGCCTCCTGTGGTCATGAGCTCCTTCTGCAAGAAGCTGTGGCTGACACTTGCCCAGCAAACTACATGTTATTCCGGGGAACCCACAGACCCCAAGCAAACAACCCCTGGTCATAGAATGAAAGAGCCCACCGGTGGGGAGGTCAGGGACAGCTCGAGACGTGTGAGTCCATCTGCTGCCCAAGTTACGCAGAGAGTAACTAACACTGTTTTCTTCTTGTCTTCCGATCATCACCCTCCTTTCCCTCCCTCCTGCTCCCTCCTCCTGTCTCTCTGCCTCTCCCCGCACCTTCTGCTGCTGCTTCTCATTCCCTTCATGCCTCTTCTCGCCCCGTCTCTTGCACCTTTTGCACCCCAGATGTGCCGGCCTGGTTGAAGAGCCTGCGCCTGCACAAGTATGCCGCGCTGTTCTCGCAGATGACCTACGAGGAGATGATGGCCCTCACCGAGTGCCAGCTGGAGGCTCAGGTACACGGTCTGCACCCACCTTGTTCTGGGGGCTGCCAGGGGCTGGGTGCATCGGAGGTGGCACCCGTGGGCTCCTGCCTATGGGCCCAGTAGGAGACCAAGGCCACAAAGGTGACCACAGGGAAGAGGCTAGAGGTATGGGGCATTAGGACAAGACCAAATCTAAGCACCTTTTCCAAGCTCCAGGGTTCTCAGGGGAGTCTGTGGATTCTCCTGGAATAAATGATATTGGGCTGACACCCTGCAAAGTCAGGGTCCCCAGCTCGCCCTGCCCCCCAGGACTTCACAAACAAATCGGGCCAGCACTGTTGTCTGTGGTCCAGTCTGGTCACTTATCAGTTAACTTCTAATCAGACTGGGACTGGAAGCACTGGGCCAGGCCCCAGATATGTTTTAGTGCATTCCCAAAATTATATCTAGACCAGTCTTAGTCAAGATTGGAGTAAACTGTTTTAAATATTTTTTTTCTTCTAGTCACATTGAATATTGCATAGGGCCATGATAAGAACGAGATTTCCCCAAGGCTCAGACTTTCCTTCCCTGATGCAGGCCATAAAAGGACAAAGTTCCTCCTCCCTTCTGAGGCATCTTTCTCAGGCATGACGTCAAAGGCCAGGTTTACAAAGGCTCCAGAGTTAAACCCGTCTCCTACCGGCAAAGTCCACCGAGCTGACCCACATCCTCCTTTCCCTTGTTTAAAATACTATTTGCAGCCAGGCATGGTGACGCATGTCTGTAATCCCAGCATTTGAGAGACTGAGGCAGGAGGATCATTGTGAGTTCAAGACCATCCTGCGTTACAAAGTGAGCTCAAGACCAGCCTGCACTGCATAGTGAGACCCTGTCTCAAAAAGACAAAAAAAAAAAAAAAAAAAAAAAAAGCTATTTGCATGTTTCAGGTTGACCTCAGTTTCCTTTGAGAGGTGATTTTAAAGACCTGGAGGTCAGAATGGGTTCTTCCCCCACAGGAAGGAGAACGGGCACCTTTGGGGTGGGGCTGGCTGAATGCTGCCTCCCTCAGAGCCCTGGGCTCTCGCTGGTGATTCAGTACCCTCCATTAACCTCTGTGCGCCTGGCTGAATACCAGTATTGAGAGCAAGACAAAGCCCAGAGTCACTGCAGATTCTCAAAGAATGAAAGGCGCCGATTCCAACTTCCTAACATTTCTCCACTGCTTTTTGGATCTTGGTCACTACTTGAGCTCTCAGGGGTGGATGAGAACCATTTTTAAGAGCATGTCTATGTTTGGATCAAAGTTAAGGGGAAGGGGGAAACCTAAGCCAATTATTCAACTTGAGAAGAAACAAGGAACACAGCACCAACTTTTCAGAGTACTTTAATTCATTTGAGCCCAAGGTTAAGGTGAACTAGAAATACACCTCAGTATTTATCTCAGAGATTCATTCATCGCTTGAGGCTTATTTATCCTCCTTAAAGGAAATGTTGCTTTTATTTTCATCCTTTTCCCCATTAAAAAATTACTATGGGATGATCACAAGAGGTCCCCAGAAGTTTTTATTAGGAACCTGATTAGAAAAAGAACCTTCTACTAGGGAATTTGCAGTACCCGAAGTGAACAAGACTCTACTGGGACCCTTAGGCTCACAGTTTGAAAGATAAAATCCACAACTCTCAACTGCAAGTCCTAAGTCCATCCTGAACTGATGGATGGTGGACTGTGGATTGAAGTTCATTTTCTACTCTGGTTTTCCCTGTGGAAAATAAAAGGGGGCTGTGAAACTGAGAGACTCGCCTGTCTTTATTGACTCTCCACATGACTGTGCTGGGCTCCAAACTTCCTACAGATGTGTAAAAAGGAAAGGCTGAGAGAGAGGTGCGCTTGACCCCAAATTCTCCCTCAAGAGACTGAAGAAGTTTCATGCTGGCTGCTCTGTAGCTCAGTGTCCCAAAAATGGCATGCAAAAGACACAGGCAAACCTTTCGTCAGATGGAGGGAGAATTGAGTAAGAAGAGGTTTGTGGCAGTGGGTACCAGGACAAGAGAGGGGTGCTGACCAGCCTGCCAGCATGCAGAGCCCAAAGGACACATAAAGTCCTGAGTGGCCAGTGAGAGGCTGGCTGGGCTGTTTGTGAACGTATCTTGTGTTTCATTATAGAACGTTACCAAAGGCGCCAGACACAAAATCGTCATCAGTATTCAGAAGCTCAAAGAAAGACAGAACCTCCTGAAATCCTTGGAAAGGGTGAGTGATCAGGGGGTGAGGGTCTACTTTTGATAACTGCTACTCTTGCCTGGGTAGCAAAAAGCAAGGGTGTAACCCAAGTTCCGCAGGCGGGGGCAATAGCGTTGGGCAAAGAGACAGAGCCGGCGATTTGGAGAGGAATTTCAGACTAACTCCTCAGTGGAGTGGGTCCCCTTGGCCCCGAGAGGAGCCCTGTCTAAAGTGTGGATGCAGAAAACAGCTCATTCCATTGTGACAAGTCACTCCACCTGCCTCTGTCCCTTCTCCTCTGGTGTCTGCGTGGCTTCTCCCTTATTTTGCATCACAATGGCATCGGGTAATAATTGTCATTTTTAGGATGTGGTGACAGTATGATTTCATGTAAGGTCCAAAGGAAAGCTGAGTCCTGTCCCACACACCACAAACCTGTGTCACCTCTATCCCCAGCACTGGGAATCTCGTGCCCTGGTGGTGGGAGCGGAGTGGGGGATCCCACAGCTGTTTGCAGCTTCGTGGTGGAGCAAACACTTCTCCATAACCCTGGGAGTGAAGGGGCGAAAAATGAGCCTGGGCCAGGTGAAGTGAGTTTAGAGGACATCATTTTAATGGCAGTGTCGTGGGAATTTTTTTTAGCTTATTCAAAAAGTGGGATGCGTGTTATTTTGTATGCACTATGTAAAGTTCCATTTATACATGTCCTGTAATGATGTTACACACATTCAGAGAAAAATTTCTTTGAAAACCTCTTGGTGGACAGGCAGGGCTGGTCAGAGTGAATCTCAGAGGTTCGAACCCTGAGGTTTCGTTGTTCTTCATTTCACGCTGACTCCTTCGCCAAGCAGCTCCAGTGGTAATTACTGTCATTTTTAATCTAAGAAACTGTTCCCTTTTTTGGGGGGGAGGGACAATCCCCAAGGCTAATTATTCTGTGTCTGTTAGGAACTATGGAAAGCATTTTGCAGGAGGAGAAGGTTGCTAAGGACCTTGGTGCAAGAACGCTTTCCCTTTCTCCTTGCTGGCGCATCCTCTGGGAATTCATCTGCACCCCTGTTACTGAGGAAACGGACATTGACCTGAGGTTGCTGTGTCTCTGTAGCCATGGCCCCTGTCAGTGGCCTTGAGGTGCCACGACCCACCAGCTGGCCTCTGATAAGCCAGTCATGTTCTGTGTCCTCCAGTCACACCTAGAGTAATACCGACCCCTCAAAAGTGCTTCCTCCCCAGTTCCCTGGGATGGGAAAGAGAAAAGATGCTGTGTGTGTGGCAGCCATGAATGGCCAAGAGGAAAGCGACCGTGAGTTTATTCACTGCGTTCGTGGAGACAGGAAGCTCCGCCTGTTTGGTGGTCAGGTTGAGCTTAGCTCAGAAACCCCTGGTGATGTGTGGCCATCCTGCCTGCTGTCCTTTCAGGAGCTGACAGCCTGGGTTGGGGAACACTTGAGTCCCCGGCCCCAGGGTCCCAGCCTCTCCTCCTGTGTAAGAGAGGAGCTTGTTGTCACCTGTTCCCACGCTGGCACAGTGACAGACTCAGAGCAGGCATTGGCAGACAGTGCCTGGGCAGATGACGCTGCTGGAAATGCTGTTGTCACACCCTTGTCTGTCTCCAGCATTCTTACGTCACACAGAAGCCAGATCTCTAAGGAGATAACTGGACCCACCCACAGCCAGTACATAGTCAGCGGGAGGTGTAGACAGGCTCAGTGCTCCCATCGTCTACAGGTGCTGACCACGTGTAAAGCACCTGTCCTCTCCTTGCCTGAGTAAGTGATCCTGGTTCCTGCTGTGGGCACGCTGGGGTGGGCACTGGGGCAAACAGATAATTGGTAGCTCAGGACCTCACGGTGCAGTGTGATCGTGTCACCACTAAGCCACGTGGGGGGGACTTCAGGGGTGAAGCAGGTAACTCTGTAGGGTGAGGGGGGAGCTGCGGCTAGGAGGGGACTTGATGGCCCTTCTGTGATGAACCAAAATGGAGAAGGATGTGGGAGGTCACTAGAGGCTACCATGGGATTATCAGGAAATCTGGGCTTGGGTGTCATGACATTTGGGAACAAAAATATACAAGGAACTACTGGGCTGGGTAAGGGGGCATTTGGTTTGAAGGGATGGATCTAAGAGGGCTGCAGAACCCCAAGGGAAGGGCACATCAGTAACCAGAAGAGCAGGTCTGGAGCCCAGGACCCAGCGGTGTCTGAGGGACGTGGTCCTGGGCCATCTGTCATCTGTAGTTGGGTCTCCTTGGAAGTGTGTGTCAGGGTAGGACTGAGGACAGACCCTGAGGCACTGTAAGATTCACAAGCACCCAGTGCCACAAGCACTGTGCCCTGAGCTCCAGGGCCCAGGTCAGTAGGTGGGAAGCTGGGAGTCTCCCCAGCACCAGCAACAAGTCACCTAGACACAAATGCTTTCCCCTGGAATTGTCCACCCGCTGGTCACAGCACCGTGATGAGAAGGTTTCAGGAGAAAGGAAGGGGACAGATGTGGGAAGCCACAAACCAGGACTGTGGGCATGCGAGCAGGCCGTCAGTGCACGGTCAGACTTCTCAGCATAGAAGAGGGGGCTCAGACTGTGAGTGGTGCAGATCTCCCAGCACGTCATCCTCCCTTTCACCTCGCCTCCGAAGTGTGAAGTGTAGCACACACACACACGCTCACCCTGCTTCTGTGTATTTCTGGTTAGAGGCACAGAATGCTTCTCTGCAGGGCTCAGTCTTTTCTTCAGATGCATGGAGACCTGTGCCTTGAAGACAGGACTGATTCCCACTAACAGTAAACACCACCAGCCTGCTAGGAGCTGATCCTAGGCAGGTGAACCCTGTACTTCTTTTTAAAGAAGTTTTGCATGAATGCACGCATCTCAACTCAATCTCCTGACACGGCCAGGACAGCTGCGTGTTCTAGGGGCGACACACTCCAAGGTTATCTCTGTGCCCCCTGTTGTCTGTCCTTTACCCTCATGCTGTTCACAGCCCCACTTTTTCTGAATCCCCCACACAGTAATAGTCGAGGCCCCTCTTTCCTGTCCCCAGAGCTTGCTATCCTGACACCGTTCCACGGGCGTCCTAGGCACGGTGAGAATTTGAGGGTGAGGACAACAGCTTCCTTGTGCTGTGTCCCCGGGGAACAGCCAGGCCTGACCGAGGGTTGAGCAGCTGTCGGTGAGTGAAAGGAGAAGGAGAGGGCAGACTTAAGTCACCACAAGTGTCCTGTTCTAGAATGGGACATGTCACGCCATGTGCTGGGGACACTTCGCCTGAAGCCCTCTTTTCCAAATGCCTCACCAAACCCAGCTTCTCTAAGGCCCAAGAGAGCCAGGCCAGGCAGGGTCCGGGGAGTCTGTCGCTCCCTCCTGTCCTTTAGGTGATCGCTGGGCTGACCACATTCCCGTTACCTGCTTTCACACCTCAGTTACCGGACGGCTTCACGTCGGCTGTTTGCATTCATAGCATAGGATTGTATTTCTGGTACGGAGGATCAATAGACACTTCTCAGCCTGGTGAATTCACTCCCACAGCCAGGCACAAGCGCTAGCCTGAGTTCATGCAGGCCGCTTCTGCCCTCCTCCTCAGGGTAGGCCCTTGGGGTCAGTTGAAGAATTCGTTTTAGAGAGGCAGGAAAAGGGGCTGCCAGCCTTAGTGCTGACCCGAGAATGCTGGCCTGGGTAGGCGTTTGCTTAGCTGGCGGGAACCCGAGTGCTTTCCTCAGACAGTGGCTGGAAGGCACAGGGAAAACCGAAGCAAAGCTGTGCGTGGTTCCCGGAAAGTCCCCCTTTGCAGCGTGTGTATCTTGGCGGCCACTCTTTGGTCCATGGTCCCTGATAACTAAGATCAGATCTGGGCGTGGGGCCCTCGAGTGTTTCGTGTTTCGTAGGGGAAGGGCTGCGGCTCTTTGCAGAACCACATCTGTGTCACCGTAAACAACAAACGCCTCCTTGTGCTGGGACGAGAGCAGGCAAGGGCTTGGTAGCAGGCCACGGCCTCGATTATTCATTTGCTGCCCTGAGTGATGGTGGTGGAGTGAGATGGCGTGGCAGGGACACGAGTGACCCCAACTCAGCTGGCTCAGGTTCCTTGTCCTCTTCCCTCCCCCTCCACAGATACGGGCTGCACAGGGCCTGGTGCCCATGACCCTGGTGCGGGTTGAGCACTGGAGATGGGAGTCAGGTGCCCCAGGTGGCAGGGCCAGCAGGGCTTCCTGCACAGGTCCAAAGTCAAGGACTCGTGACTGCTTCATGCCCTGGGCTCAAAGCCTGGGCCGAGCTGTTCCTGCCTCCTCTGTGCCACTGCATTTGGCACAGACCCTGCAGCCTTCTTCCAAAAGGCAAATGAGAGCTGGGCGTGATGGCACACATCTGTAATCCCAGCACTCAGGAGGCTGAGGCAGGAGGGTCACTGTGAACTCAAGGCCAGGCTGGGCTACACAGAGAGACCGTGTCTTTCTCACACACACACACACACACACACACACACTCTCTCTCTCTCTCTCTCTCTCTCTCTCTCTCTCTCTCTCTCTTTCTCTCTCACGCACATGCGCATGGCAAATGACTTTCTCCCTACCAGAGGCTGCACAGAGGCTCAGGCCAGACTTGGACACTTCTGCAGGTGAATTAGAATGGCACTTCCTGCATAAACACTCCTTGCCAACTAGGCTAAGGCTCCAAACCCTCTCCCTAAACACAAGTGGGCTCCTGCCAATGACAGGGTGTGGCTGCTGGCATCCCCAGCTGCCCAGAGTTGACACACCTGTGTCCCCAGTGGCCACCGCCCCTTTCCTCTGTCTGGTGGATTCCTAGGAAAGGCTTGGTTGCGGAAACAACTGTACTGTTGAGATCTGTGTTCCCTGACATCTCTGGGAAGACAGGATCCCAGCAGTGGTTCAGGTCTCTGTGTGTCAAGCTTTTAAAATGATAGCCTTGCTATTCTGAGCTCTCCCGAGATTGAGTACTTCATTACTAATCAGGGCCCCAGTTGACAGCATCCTTCCGGGTCCCGAGAGGAGTTGGATCTGCATGGGTGGGGGTTGGGGAGTGTCACAGAGACGCAGAGGGCTCCAGCCAGCAAACCAGGGAAGACCCCATCCTGACCCCCGCCACACTGAGCCCCTGGCCAGTTCCAGACCTGTCACTCCTAGAAGAATCAACTTGCATCCTTTGACCAATAAGTAAAACCTCCTGTATCAAGCTATATATGTGGAAATATCTGGTTTTATTACATGGTATATAAAGATGCACATATAGGATCAAATATACAGCAAATGTTTAAATTTTAAAATTTTAGGAAAAGCTACATTTCTATCTGGCTTCAAGCACACTCATCCCACCATCCGTGCACCCTCTGCAGCGGCTCTGGAGTCCTCTTTTCTGAGTGTCTTTAGTTGCTCTGTCCTGGCTGCCTTGGTGTCTTGAGCGGGTTTTAAATGCTTCCCTTTCATGTCATTTTGACTTTGAGGACAAGTCAGTCACTGTGTGGTGCCAGGTCCTGTGAATAAGGGGGAGGAGGACACAGCGTCGTGTTTGACGACTGCCTTTCTGTAGGATGGCACAGGACAGCACTCGCTGTGTTTCGATCACACTTGGGAAGACCCTCCGGAAAGAGGGCTCCGGAGCTGCTTCAGAAAGTGGCGAGGATGATGGGACGTGTTCCAAGCCAGGGGGAATGTTTTGAGGATGATTCATGGCAATGTCTTTTACTGTCACAAATATTTTTAATTTCACTATTTTGATAATACACCCCAGATAATTATTATAATATACATTCCATGTATTTCCTTCCAGAATCATCCATTTAAAACTGTCACTTCCGTGCTAAAAACCTTCCTCTTGCTTAGAATAAATTAATTAGATTAACATCCCAGTCTCCACGATGAGCCTGCAGAACTCCATCCTCCCCTTGGCCCTGCCTGACCAGAGACTGTGCCCTGGCCCCCTGGGGTCCCCTCCCCTGTGTCACTCCCCCAGGAACCCTCCCTGCCCCCAGCATCAGGCATGAAGTGCAGGAAGGATGCAAACTCCCAAGGGAACTGTAGAGGGCGCTCTCGCCATGTCGCCTGCTCCAGTGCCCGTAGCCCAGCGCTCAGTAGGTTATAAACCTCACCCGACTACCTTAATCTCACTGAGCAGCTCATAACATAGCAACCAGCAGGGACCTGTGGCTTTACAGCTGAAGTGTTCAGAAGTGTAACCACTCAGCAGGGAACCGGGGTCCTTAACTTTATAAACACCCTGAGCCTGCGCAAGAGGAGGGCACAGAGATGGTGTGAGTGCTATACCCGCCCTCGGGGAGCTGGTGGCCTGCTTATAATCTAAGGAAGAAGAGGCTTGCTGTCCCCCACTTTTGCTCTTCCTGTTTTTCTGTCTTCTGCCACCTTGAAGTGTTGCCCTGTGTGGTGCCACCCTACTTTGAAGCTGGCTGATTGTGGACTGAAACTTCCACAAACTGTGAGCTAAATAAACCTTTCTTCCTTCATTTTGGATGTCAAGTACTTTGTCTCAGCAGTGAGAGAAAAGTAACCAAGACAGTAACCTAAGAAATGTGTTTTACCAGCTGGGCCTGGTAGTAGATACCTGTAATCATAACATTCTGGGAGGCAGAGGCAGGAGGATCGCCATCTCTATCTCTTAACAGGGCTTTTCAAGTGATTTATGTTTTCTCACTGCAAATTCGTTTCCCAAGTTTTCTCCTGGGCCAATGTTACAAGTAGGTTATGGTGGCCTCTTTTCCAAGGAACAGCCTAACTGATGGAGCAGTGGCAGCGTGCAGGGCAGGGAGACAGGCAAACCTCACACGGTCTTCTCCTTTACCCCCGCAGGACATTATTGAGGGGGGCAGCCTGCGCACCCCACTGCAGGAGCTGCACCAGATGATCCTGACCCCCATCAAGGCCTACAGCCCACCGAGTGCCACCCCTGAGGCACGTCATCGGGAGCCCTCAATGCTGGGCCCCGAGAGCCCAAGCCCCGATGGCAAGGACACGGCGGCCACCGTAGTCACCAGCACCTCAGCCAGCACCACAGCTGGGGCTAGCGGCGGGCTGCAGCCACACCAGCTGAGCAGCTGTGACGGGGAGCTTGCCGTAGCCCCCCTGCCAGAAGGGGACCTGCCCGGGCAGTTCACACGCGTCATGGGGAAAGGTGGGTTCTCTGCCAGGGACTGGGTAAACTGGCATCTGAGCAAGCGATGGGCCTGGCTCTGCCCATCCACAGGCAGGAGGGCTCAGCCTCTCTGAACCCTCAGCTGGGTGTCCCAGGTCCCTGCCAAAGCACCTATGGGCTTGGACAGAAAGGTGAGGAGGAGACGGGGGACAGGGTCCTCCCCCAGCCACCAGTGCCTCCCCAGAGTGAGAGGGTGGGGGGAGGAACAGCTGCCCCACTTGGCACCAAGCAGCCGCACTCCACCTTTACGATTGATCACATGTAAAGCACTCCAGCACTGAGCCCTCCAGACATTGTGCTTCAGCTAGGCAGTGTGCTTAACCCTCAGAATTACCCATCCTGCCGAGGGGAAACTGAGGCGCGCAGGCCAAAAGTGTTTGAGAAGTGCTTACATCCTCTTGCCTCTTGCATACTCCTGCTCTGCCTGGGCCCCTCCCCACGCCCTAGGAAGCCTTGACGGCGTCCTACCTGAGTGGTGCGGCTTGGCAGCTCTTTCCTTAAAGGGTTTTTGTACAGTGCCCAACCTGCACATCTGTAGTGACAGCCTTGCCTAGAGCCCTCCTTCCCTCACCCCATTTTCACCACTAGCATCTTGCACCCTCATCTTCTGCATCTCAGCAGAGTCCTCCCCTAGGCTGGTGAAGCTGCCTGATCCCTGGGCTGAGCACAGGGTCCCTCCCACAGCCTTCCTCTGTTCAGGTCACACTGGGTTACAGCTGTCCGAGGGCTCGCCTGTACCCCATTCTGATGTCAGGAGCCTGCCCGTGTTCAGTGAGTCCAATGTGGGGGGGGAGAGTGGGAGCTGGACCCAGAGCCAGCAGAAAGCACCCACAACCATGGGCACTACCTGTGCGGCCCTCGGGGTGCCCTTGCTACCCAGCCTGGCCTTCGCCTCCGCTTGCCCGGCCCTGGTGTCCAAGTCCCCCAAAAGTGTCCAACAGTAGAACAAAAATCTTAAATTATTTTGAAGTTAAAAAAAAATTATTTAAAGATGCAGAAAAGGCTAGCACCTTTCCTTTGGAAAGGGGAAACAGTTTCCTCCTTGTCCAATAGTCTAGAACGTTGGAAGAACCAAGCTTTCACCAAAAGAGTTGTCTGTGCCTCCGAGTTGTAATAAGAAGCCCCGTACCCGATAAATCCTTGCAAAAAGATCTGGCTCGGAAGGAGGGGCTCATAGCTTCCCCAGGGACGTAGTGGTTCGAGTGGACCCCTGCTCTCCCGTGGGTGATACCTACTGAACATGGGGCTGGCGCCCTCCCCGAGGTGGGCCCAGCCTTCTGTGGGAGCCATGGCTTGTGTAATAATGTAGATGGTTCTAAGTTTTCATTCTTACGAACAGTGCTGAACTGAAACCCTGCATCCGGACACCCGGGTCAAGAGGATTCCGGGCCAGGTTACTTCGGGAAAGGAAGGACCCCCGGGATACCATGCCCAACTCCCAGCTTGATCTGTATGGGGTGCCAGCCTTGCCATCTGCCTGGCTTCTTTTGGTGGGCCTTGTAACTACCCCCCCCCCCCACGTCAGAGCCAGAGGCCACAGTGATGAGGACAGAGCAGGCCCCGGATGTGGCTGTGAGCATCCAGCCCTGCCACACTCCTAGCAGTTCCTTGAGTGGGGGAACCCCATGTGTCTGCACAAGCCCAGCCCACTGAGAGCATCCCCCCGAGCTGTCTGAGTGGCAGGTTTCCCAGGTCGCCCACATACCTGGCAGTCACATACCTTACAGCACCAGCCTCAGGCCCGAGTCACAAGTGCCACCACTCACCACCTGGGACCTGCTTCACTAACTGATGGGGCAGGGGGGTCACGCACCTGCCATAGCCGGGTTTGGCCTGGACGCCCCTTACAGAGCTGCGTTTAGCCAGAGCTCCAGCCTTCCTCTCCTTGAGTCTCTGAGGAGTCTCTCCAGGCTTAATGTAGAGTGGAATGGCAGAAATGAACCCGGGCAGGGCTCTTCGGTGACCAAGCCTTTGCTTTAGCCGAATGAGGTGTCTGTGGGCCTTTTTCGTGGACTTTACATAAAGTCACACCTCAGAGGAAATGGAGCCACCGTTCAAGTAGGTTCACGCTCCTCTAATCCACGCCTCTCCCCCATGTCCACAGTGTGCACACAGCTCCTGGTCTCCAGACCTGACGAGGAAAATATAAGTTCCTACCTTCAGCTCATAGACAAGTGTCTGCTCCACGAGGTGAGTCGTGACCTGCCTTGCCACTGTTCTCCTCTCGGCCCAGTGATGTTTCCCTGAGTGTCTGTGACTCGATTGCTCTGTCTCCAGTGCTCGTTTGGAGAGGGCGGAGGTCAAGAATAACAGCCGGGGCAGAACCAGCCATTGGCGGGCTCCACACTAAAGGTTTCCTCGGGGTCCCACACCCAGAGCTCCAGGGTGGGGGCCACCGGGGAGCGAGAGGTTCCCTCCAGCCTGAAGTGGTCGACACAGAGCTGCCATCCGGCCCTGGGCATTGCCAGGTGCTCTTAACGTTGAGCACTGAAACGTTTTGTGTCTCAGTGCTGGAAACTGGAGGAGAAAGAGAGCACACAAGAGAAGTTGTGAACGTGTGTGTGTGTCTGTCTGTCTGCCTCATGGGTTGATGGCAGTTTGCTATTTGGATTTGTGGCTTTTACCAGAACAGGATTTGCCTTTTATCCCTTAAAGGGAGACTAAGGCAGGCCAGGGTGGCACCTACCAGACCCTCAAGCTGGGCACAGCTGGGCTGGTGACTGCCTTTCAGGGTCACCTGGGCAGAGTTGGGCCTTGGGGTAGTCATCCGGGTTCCTTTCTCCCACGAGGTCTGACCCTGGTCTGATGGACAGGCACACCTCCCTCTGGCCCCTTGTCCCTTCTGTGTCCACCTCAGTGTGCCCAGTCACCCCAAAGTTCTTTGTCTCTGTGTGAGCATAGTGACCAGCTAGCTGGTGGGGAGCTCAGGCAGGCTGTCCTCTGAAATACTCTGCTCTTCTCACTGATGGTTCCCCAGAGTAACCCAGCACAGTCATGATTGCCGAAGCCTCCGATGGGGCTTGTTGGTTCCCAGGCCACCACCTCATAGGCCCAGACCTGCTAGGTCCAACTGATGCTGGTAAACACCTCTGTATCTGGACAGAAAGATGGCCAGCACCCCTTCTCTCCCAGGCCTGCTCTCAGTATGAGGCCCAGATACTGGAGGACAAGGCACCTTCCACCACCTCACCTCAAGTCACCCAAGTCCTCCAGGGCCCCTGCTGAGCAAGCCTGGGTCACCAGGGGTCGACACCAGCCTGGAGCATTGGCCTGCAAGCGGCACCTCCCTTCCTGTCGCCCTGTGCACCCTCCCAGGGCTCCTGGCCCTTGCGTCTCCCCTGTTCCCCTCTGGCAACCCTAAGTGACTCTGTCCACAGATGGCCCTTGTGCCTCACCAGCTGTTTGCTGGAGGGTAGGAAGGAGCTGTGCCACACTCATGTTCACAGACCAAGGGGCGTGGGCTCTACCCTGCCCTGGAAGAGAGAAGGCTGTTCAAGGCTTTGATTAGATTCACTTCAAGGAAGTGCAAAAACGCTCATGAGCAGAACTCGGCCTTTGTGGAGGAGCCCCACCGTCTCCTTCCTGCTGAGGCCAGCTGGGCTTGGGGACCCAGGGCTCCCTTTCATGGCCAGGCGTGTGTTACTCACTGCCTGGATGCAGAGATGTTGGCCAAACAGGAGGCTCCCTGCCTCGCAGAGATGAAGGCACCACTTCCAGGAACACTTCCGAAGAGGATGAGAAAGCTGTCTGCAACCAGGCACTTGGAGTCCTGGGTGGTGACCCCTAGCTTTGCACATCTCACACGCTGCCGTGACTCTGGGAGTTGGGTCCTTGCCCACTTTGTGGGCCTTCTCCTCAGCACAGGCGCTGCAAGAGCATACCCTGGAGACACAGAAGCCAGCTTTCAGAAGTTCTGGGCCTACCACACCCTCATGGACAGTCCAATGCCACCCACCAGAGGAGAACCAGCCCTGCTCACCTCACTCACCCAGCCCTACTAAGGTCCCAAAACCGATTCAAGGGAGCCCGGTGCCTGGGGTGTCCTGTGAGCTGGCCTGTCTGTGGAACCATTCATTCCCTCTCATGCTGGCCACCATGGAGAGGCTGCATGTGTGATGACATCCTTGGAAGGACAACCATGCAGCAAGCCACTTTCTCCCCTGTCACTTGGAAATGCAAGCCAGTTTCCACCCTCCCGCCTGTCTCTGGACCAGCTCAGCCTTGTAGCCTGGAGACTTATTTGTGCTGCTGTTGGGGCTGAAGGTCATTGTTGGACAGCACGTGTGAGGAGCAGGCACAGTGCTCCAAAGGGCAGCTGGCTGGGGCATCTAGGAGCAGCGTGTGTGGCACTGTCACTAGGCACCTGTTCTGAGCATGCCACCCTCACGGCACCTCTTAGGTATTTCGATCACACCCAGGCTGTGGAAGGTTTGCAGTGATTCCAGCCCTCCCCATCTTCATCCAGAACCTTCTCAGATGCAAAGGGCTGGACCCCTCCCCACATCATCACGGCCAGCACAGCTGCAACCTGTGCCCTCGACATCTGGCATTCAGCTGGTCTAAATTAGGTGCCTTCCGCTACCTCTGTGGACCCCACAGAAGCACCTGGCTCCTGCCGTTGCAGGTGTTTTTCACACTCAGCATTGCCATCAAATGAGAGGGACCAGGGAAGATCACATCCTCACCATCAAGAGGAAGGGCCTCGCAGAGCGCCGATAACATTGCCCCAGTGTGACAGTTCTGTCCCGTGTTTAGGTCCTTAAAAGGTTAAACAAGAAAATGAAGCTTTTTGTTTTGTTGTTTTTTAATCTTCATTTAAGGAACCTGTTTCCTTTTGGGGACAAAGTCGCTTAAGCTGTCACTCTAATATTTATTACTACAGTACTTAAAGAATCTCTTGCCTTATTGGCAAGGCTCCATTATCTCCTGCTCACGGAGTCAGGTGAATTCCCCAGCACGCTTACCAGTCCACGGCTCCAAGCACCTGGCAGGGGAGCCCTGATTCCCAGGGGGTCTTTACCACCTGGGACACCACACATCTGTGCTCCACCTGCAACATCACCAGTGTGCTTGTCACCAGATCTGTTCCATGGGGCTCTGGGTGTGGGCAGGGCCCCTGGTGCACCTCAGAGTCCTTGCTTTGGGGACTCCTAACCCTGGGCACCATGAAGCAGACCGTGTAGAGAAGGATGTGGGACAGGGACAAAACACACCTGCACACCAAGTACTAGAAAAGACAAAGTACCGAGAAGACATCAGATCTTCCCGTTTCCCTAAACCACAAGGACTGGTGCACAGGGATTTTTCTGTAGGGCATAGAGTCACTTGACTAGAGATTTTTCAGCAAAACTTTGAAGCACAGAGGATCTCCTCTGTGTTCTGCAGCCCCACCAACCACTCCAGGGTGACCACACAGCATCGAGCAGATCAATTTTTGGAGTGGTTTAGAACTTCCATTGATTATGAAAAATGCAGGGTGCCTGCAAAAGCCGAGGTATTCAACAATCGATTTTTTGATTCATTCTTGGTTAACGACCAAAAAGAATGATCAGGGAGCCGTCAGAGGAGAGGGGAAGGTGGGTTCAGATCTGCCCGAAACATAGCCAGAAACGGTGGTTGTCAGGAGTGGAATGCATCTGCCGTACCAGGTGCCTCCGAAGCCGAATAACGCGACACAGGTGGCTCCCAAACTACACTGACTGCCGTCCTGACCAGAGTGGAAACAGGTGAAGAAAAGGCAACTGCAGAGACGCCCATGTTTCCCCCTATTAATTGCATGTTGCTTCCCGTAATGCCAGGCTGTCTCACCCATTTCAAATGCCTGTTTGTTTTTGCAGGCGTTTACAGAGACACAGAAGAAAAGACTGTTGTCATGGAAACAGCAGGTTCAGAAGCTCTTCCGGTCTTTCCCTCGGAAAACCCTGCTGGACATATCAGGATATCGACAGCAGAGAAAGTATGTTGCAGTCTCACCCTTGGGGATATACAGTGGTTCCCCTGCACCTCACCTGTCTGCCCTGGTTCCTGGGACAGGGAGGTGTCTGAGGGGATGTGGTTCTTGCTCTTGAGGATGCTCTGTGGCTAGTTCTGTGTTGCATGCCCCATACAGGTGGGGCTGGGGAAGGGCTGGACGCGCTGTGTCAGGATGACGCTAAGCAGGAGAGGGCGGCAGGTGCTAGTTCGTGAGTGTCAGCAGGACACGGGTGGCCGACTCACCTAAAGGGGTTCTGGGAGGACAGAAATGGCTCTTCCATCAGCACCTTAAGTGGTAGTATAATCTTTTTCTCCCCTCTAGCTGCAGACAAGCTAATTATAGTTGGTGGCCGGGTGAAGGGCCCAGTGCTGGTCTATTTTGGTCTGAGCTGCTCGGTCTAATAGTGGAGCTGGTACCATTCTTGATTTTTCCATAGTACTTCAGCTTCTCTGCTGCTGTTAAAAATAAGCCTGCTTATACCGAGAACCCGTTCCCTTCGTGTGACTTTAAGCTGAGGAATCCGGTTGCGGATGAAAGGTGAACAGGAGATGGTCAGGAGGACTGAAGCGGGGAGGGTGCCGTGTTTTCAGGATGATAGGAAATCATTGGGGGATGGGGGCGCAAATACCCTGAAAATAAGCCGCGCTCCATCTTATGATTTAGAACAGGAGCAGACAGAAACTTCTTCACTCGCGCCCACAGATTCTGGAATCTGTGTTATTAAAATTTGAGGAATTTATTTGCATACATGTGTGCTTTAAAACATCAGTTTTGCATTAAAGGTGATAAAACCAGCTGAAATTTATGAGATGTCATCATGAAAAATTTATTTAAAAATTAGTGCTACCACATTAGCAATTGTTATTTATTAAACAAATATTTATTTAGCACATATGAAGGGCCAAGTGGTATCCAAGTAGTTTAAAAGGACTTCATCCTTGCGACAACTCCATGAGACAGCGCTGCTGTGTTCAACCTCAGTCTACAGATGCATTGGTCCGTGGTAGTCACAGGCCAGTGCCATCCTAGGATGGAGGCTTCTCATCCCTGCAGAGCCAGGTGACACTCATGGTCCCAGGCTGATGGGCAGAGAGAGCTGTTTCAGCAAAACTACTGTTGGCTCCCTGGCCCAAGCCCTCTAGGATCACCAGCCCCTGGAGGATGGGGTGAGACACAACTGTGCAGATGCCTGGTGCTCCTGATAAGAGGCGAGGCCGTCCTCAGCATCCTGGCTGCATCCCTCGCTCTCTCCCTCCTCCTCCACACAATGGTGTGTCACCATCTCTGGGCCTGAGGTCCTAGGAAGGTGAGCTTCAAAAGGTAGGAGGCATTCAGAGGCTGACATTGAAGACAGCACTTTGAAACTCTGCTTCTCCTCTCCAAAGTCCCAAACCCCGACCCTGAGCCATATCAGCGAGCCCTGCTTGGGGGCAACATAGGCAAAAGCCACCCCAACCTGTCCAGGGCATCATCAGCTGTGGCTTGGACTGGGCTTGCCCAGGCGCTCCCCAAGTGTCAGGGTCCTGATGGACCAGAGAGAATGGATTCCATCACCAATTGTGGATATCAAGAAAACCCTAGAAATTCTCCTTAAGTATTTCCTCTGGGGTCTTTTGATGCTATTAATTTGCTTTGAAAGGCCTGTTTCTCCAGTAATACAGTGGTAATGCAGCCCAGCCCCTGCTTGAATGATCGCAAATCCCAAATTAATTGCTTCTTATTAATATTATTCTATCAAAGACTTCTCATGTACCACAAGATAATGGACTCCGTTAGATACCAAGAGGCACCGAACAGGAGCATGAGAAAAGGGAACTTGCTTTGTCACTCTGTTCCCTCCTGGGAGAGCATGGCTGTGTCATTAAGCTTATTGATCTTAGTTTATGCTAAGTACTGGGGTGTTCAGCTAATCACATTCCTACCCCAGAATGTCCTGTTCCCCTGGCCCAAATAACCAAGTCCTAACCCTAGCAGTCCTACGGTCCCTCATTCCCCCAGTAAGCAGCCTGTCATAGAATCCTCCACACATTATATTGCTTAAGATGTCAGGCATGATGCCACGGGCCTGTGATCGTAGCGCTCGAGAGGCTGAGGCAGGAGGAACTCCCTGAGTTCACCAGCCTGAACTACACAGCAAGACCCTGTCTCAAAAAGAAAAAAAAAAAAAAAAACATCAGCAGGCTTTCTGGAAGCACACATTCTTTTAGCACCACTCATTGACTGCTGTGTTTTGCATATGAAATAACTTTTTAAAAATCCAACCACAACAGAAAGTGAGAAAAGCTATCTGCACTAAATAAGGAAAGATCTTAGCAGAATACTGAATCAGCTACCAGGTGGCCAAACCTCCTGACAACCCATAGACAAATTGGCACAGTTCCGACCCCACACCCCACCCTTGGTCCCGGTGGCCACCTGTGCAGACCTCCCAGAGCATCCGGACACTGACCACTGAAATCACTCCTCCCTCTCATGCTCCTGGGTCCTTAAATCTGCAGGGGAGAAGGAGAGGTGGTCGGGAGAGAGGAAAGAGACCCAGAACCTGTTGAGGTGATTTCTGGCCAGAATCCAGAAGTTTCCTTGGCCACAACAGCTTGAAGTGGAAAGAATTCTCTGCCGCCTTTTCCCCTAGGAAATTTGGGAATTCTGGGGAGAAGAGCACTGTTTCCTGAGCTAATGCCCCTTTCCCCGCACACACCCACGCCCTGCTGCTCAGGAAATGACTGCCCCGAAGGCCGCTGGCCCTGTCCAGCTCCACGCGCAGCGACGTCACCGCCTGCTGCAGGAGCCGCCAGCCCCAGACAGGCTGGCCTGCTCCATCTAGTGGCCACCGGCAGGAGCACGGCCCAAACCTCAGAGTGACTAAAGCTGACTCTTTTGGAAAGAATGTGCTGGGTCCTGAAACCCCGCTGGCCTGCAGCCTCCCTGAAGCAGGCCTGGTGGAGAAGCTGAGTTCTTGAGCGCTGAGCTCACCGGCCCGGTCAGGGGAGTGTACTGCTGCCTCGGCCGTGTGAGGCCCCTCTGCAGGGAGGGACTGGTGTGGGGGACAGGTGTGGCCCAGGCCCAGGCCCAGACCCTTGCAAACACCATTGTCTGTTGTCCCCAGGACAGGGCCCACTGCCCTTCTGGACAGTCTCATGGTGACAGAGACTGGGCCTGCACTGGCTTCTGTGTCCAGCGGCCGCAGTTAGCCAGCAGCAGCTGATTCAGCTGTGGCCCACCCAGGATGGAGGGGGCTGTCACAGTCTGGGGCTTCTCCCTTGGCCACACAGAGGAGTCAGAGATGGACCGCAGTACCGGGGGAGGGGTGCCTGATCCGGTGCTGGTACCAGCTTGCCAGGGTCTCAGAGGGCACCCTGCCCTCACCCACACATGGCACCACATAGGTGGGAGGAGAAGGGACAGCCACCTCCGTGACAGCTATGGAAGGAGGCAGGAGACAGTGGCAACTCAGCTGCTGGGTACCTGTCTCGGGCTGCCCCCTGCTGGCCATGGCACATTGGCAAAATTATGAAGCTCTGTGTCTCTAGTTGACCCAAGATGGCAGTGAATATTCACACGTTTTTTAAAATGACAGTAAAAAATATGCATCCCCCTCAAAGCCCTGCCTGTCTCTTCACTCACTCTCATCCCATCCCCCTTACCACTTCCTGCAGCAGCTCTGGATGTCCTGAGTCCACTCAGAACATTTCCCTGTGATGAGCATTTTGACTCTGGGGAGAAACCAGAAGCCCAATCTGGTAAACAAGGTGGCAGAGGACACAGCGTTACTTAGGACACATTTGCTAGTCATTGCTATAAACGGTTGATCAATGAAGGGTGAGCAAGAAAAAAAGATGCAAAAAAAGTGGATCACAGAGAGACACTGCAAACCCACCCTGCCGCTCTGCCTCTTTGACACACTGTGTCCATCATTCTTTTCCTGTGATTGTTTACTGTATTTTTGATCAGCCTTGTGCCCCATCGGGCTGAGATCCAGGATGAGACCAGGGTCACTCACTGGCTCCACGTGGCTGCCTCGGGGCCATCTCGGTGGCTCCTCTGACTGCACTGGGAGCACAGGAGTCCAGGAAGCGCTGACCTCTCCTCGCTCTGTCCACTTCTCTTTGTAGCCGCGGCTTCAGCCAGTCCAACTCCCTGCCGACGGCTGGCTCTGTGGGCGGCGGCATGGGCCGACGGAACCCGCGCCAGTACCAGATCCCTTCCCGGAATGTCCCCTCTGCCCGCCTGGGCCTTCTGGGCACCAGCGGATTCGTCAGCTCCAACCCACGCCACACCGCCACCAACCCCACCATCATGAAACAAGGAAGACAGGTGGGTGCTGTCCCCAGGGGCCAGGAAGGTGGCTCAACCCTCAGGCCTTCTCTCTAGGGGACCCCGAGGTGAGGGGCAGTTGTTTGTGGTATTTCCCTGCCACGCACGGCAAGCCACGGCTGTGCTTGGAACACCACACCACGGAGCCTAGACAGTGAAGGCTGTCACTTTGCTGTGACCCTCAGCCCACCCCAGCAGACCTTGTCTGCCCCAGGTCTGGGCACCAGAGGTCCCTGAACATCTAGAGTTGTCTTTTCTGTTTTGCAGAACTAGTGATTGGTTACCTTAGGCCTTCATACCGAGCTCCATCCTGACCTTCCCAGCCCTTTTTTATTATCTTGTGAGAAGGTCTTGTTAATTTGGCCATGCTGGGCTGCCGCTTGTGATCCTCCTGCCTCAACCTCCCAGAGTGCTGGGATCACAGCCCCCCACACCACCACACCTGGCTTCTCTGCCTTTGCATCTGTGACACATAGCTCTTTGGTCAAGCTAATCTACTGTGAGTGAGAAGCCACGGGAGGAAGACTGAGAGAGGCCATCTGAGAGAGTAGCTATGTCCCCAGACGGTCGCGATGAGGCTAGAGCTGGTCTAGTTGGCCTCACTGTCCCATATCCCTGCTGGTGGCTCTGTGATAGGTGACACACAGAGGGTCAGCTTCAGGTTCTTATGGGGAACTAGCAATGAGGGGTCACCCTGAACCCACGAGGACCACACCAGGGGTGACAGGCAGAATCCCCGCTCCAGCTCTGAAAGCCCCCAGGTCAGTTCACAGGAAGTCCCTGCCAGAATGCAGGAGATAACCCCTTTTCTCGTTTCTCCTAGAACCTCTGGTTCGCCAACCCTGGCGGCAGCAACAGCATGCCCAGCCGCACGCACAGCTCCGTGCAGAGGACCCGCTCGCTGCCCGTGCACACCTCGCCGCAGAACATCCTGATGTTCCAGCAGCCAGGTACGCGCTGCGGGGTCGCTCTCTGCCTCTCCTCTGGGCTCACAGTAGGGCAGGGACACCGCTGGCCCCAGCCTCCACTGTCATGTGCCTCTCCTATGCTTCGATGTGCCACTGATGGCTGCCGGGCTGAGAGCCAGTACACAGAGCCCAGAGCATACAGTGGGACGGAGATGTTTTGGATGCTGCTTGTATCCCTAGTTTGATGATGAAATCAGAGTGATCGATCACTGATCAGAGTGATCTATAGCAGGCAGGGGCAGAGGGTAAGGCAGAAGGAAAACTTGTCCTGTGGATGCGGGTCAAGGAGGGCCTTGGCAAGCCGGGACTGGTGGGCTGCTATTGGCCCCCATCACTGGAGCCGTGGTCTCCTGCACGAGCAGCTGGATTCGTGCACGGCCATCAGGTCACTGCAGGCAGTGACCTCACAGCCACAAAGCACCCGCCTTCACCACGAGGTGGCAAGCAGAGATAAATTGTCCTCACGGGGAAGTGCCCACCCCAGGCAGGTGGGCACGAGACAGAGGTGCTGTGGGATCCCAGGAAGAGTCCCGTGGCCCTAGTGGGCAAGGGAACTTGGCATGGGAGCTGCACACCAGGGGAGACGGTGTGGAGGTAGAAGGAGGGCAGGGAGAGTGACGGATAGCAGGAGTCCAGGGACCAGAGCATGACAAGGCGGCTTCAGGGACCAGGGAGCTGTTAGAAGGCAGCAGAGCGTGGGGCTCTGAGTCCAGGCCAGGTCGCTCCCACTCGGCTCCCTTGCTGGGGAACTCCGGGAGATCCCAAGAGTGGAGGGGGCGGGGCGAGGACCCACCCAAGGCCACCCATCTTTCCCTGGTCACCCTTTCCACCTCTCCCAGGTTTCCCCACCTCAGGGGCAATCACCAGGTAGCTGGTTTTCAATTGTTCAGCAGAGCAGTGGCCTCCAGGTGTCTAAATACCTTTGCTTTACACATGGGACAGAGAACCCTGAAGCATCTGGGGTTTTGTTTTCAATGGACCCCTTTCTCAGCCATCCCAAAACTGCCTCCAGCCATCCCTGGATGAACTGTGGCATTTCTAACATGACCCAGCACAGGACAAAGGGGAGTCCAGATTTCCCGAGTGTGGATACCCAGGTCAGTGCCCTGGAGCTACCGCAAGTTCCACCTCACGCTCTCTGCACCATGCCAGGTGGCTCCTTCTGGGACGTGGCCACGAACACCAGGACCTAGGACCTGGCAGAGAGGAGGCTGCTGAAGTCTCTGCCCCTCACCTTTCTCCAGGCTGCAAATGTGTGCTCATCCTCAACAGTTAGGCATGATTGTCAAGATCAATGTCACCTCTGCTTCCAGAGGTGGTAGCCACTTTCACAGGACAGTGCCTGTAACCTCTATGCCGGCTTCTGGCACATGAGACCTCCAGGGGCCTGGGCCAGGCACCGGGACCAGACTGCAAGTACCTTATCAGGATGGCAGAGATTGTGAAGACCAAGTGGCTTTCCACTTTATACAGAGAGGAGTCACAGGAAACATAGCCTGCAAGATGTGCAGCTGTGTGTGGTGGCACATGCCTATAATGCTAGCACTTGGGAGGCTGAGGCAGGAGGATCACTCCAACTTGGAGACCAGCCTGGCTGCATGCTAAGTTTAAGGTCAGCCGGAACTACACAGCAAGACTTTGTAGGAAAGAGAGAGAGGAGGTTATAGGTCCAATCCAAAGTTAAACATCCGGGAAATGGCCTTAGAGTAGCAGGTAGTTTTTTTGCCCTGGTCCTCAGAAATCCTCAAAGCATTCATTTCAAATCAGGTGGGCAAATCTTGAAGACGACTGTGCATTCAAAGCAAGTGGTGATTCCATAAGCTTAAAAGTAATGCCAGCTTGATGGAAGCCCTTAAATATCTCCAGAGAATTCAGAGCACCTGGGGACCAGAGCAGCCTCCTATTGTGGGTCAGGAATTGGCCACCCTGCTCAAATTGCCAAGCTGCTCCCTCTGCCCAGCTCCTCGAGGTCCAAGGGTCCCCGGGGACCATCCCGGATGGCTTCTGGTGCAGCACGAGTGCTGCAGGTGACTACAGCATTGTAGTGGCCTCAGCCAGGAAGAGGAACACTGGGCTGGGGCCCCCAAGGGGGAGGATGAGACCTGAGACACACCCAGGGGGTGCCATGAGCTTGCAGCACGTGTGGGACCCTTCAAGAGAGGCTGCAGGGATGCATGGAGAGTGACCCCTTAGAAGCGGCTCTGCCCCTCAATCCAGCCAGAGCGGGTCTTGCATGGCCCTGACCAACACTCAGACACCACCGAGGCTCCTTGTCCTGCTGTTGGAAAAGTACAGGAGTGAGCAGGCATCAAAGGAAGCCACCGGAAGGGCAGGTAAAAACTGCTTCCTTCCCCTGCCCATCACCACACTCGAAGCCCTCCTCGTCAAAAAGCCTCTGTAGTGGAATGCAACAAGCTGGGGGCATAGGGCTTGGGTGTCAAGGGGGCCGCTTTCCAGAGAATGGCCGTTAGGGAGAGTGGGGACTCTGCAGACTTTTCTTCCCAGCTCCCACAGTGTTCGGGAGGCTTCCAGACGAGTTGTCCCCTTGTGGCCACCTGGAGGGGGCAGCCCCCTACTCTAACAATTCTGTCCTGATCACCTCTGGGATTGCACATACTTCTTCTGTTTTTCTTGTCACACCGTCTCTCCCTTTCTTCCTGCCTCTCCTCGTTGTGATTATCCAGAACCTCTGTCCCCTGCCACCGTCCCTTTCTGTCCCTCAGCCTCCCTCATTGCTCAACAGCAGGCTCAGCGTCAGTGGCAAAGTGGGTTCCAAAAGTGTCCCCTTGCATGCCTTGGCCTGTACTTGCTTTAAAGTCTTAGATAAATCTGCTTGTCAGCTTCAACACCTGGCAAAGGGCACTGTGGAACTGCACCTTAGATGCCACTGATGTGACACCAATGTGACACTCAGCCTGATGGGGTGACTGGTGTCTGCCAAGGACAAGCCACACGGGCTCCTGGGGCAGACCCTGTGATGGCATCTCTTAGGGCACAGGTAGCCGTTCCCTCCGAGTCTTTGTGACCCAGGGCCTGAGCCTGGACTGCTGTGTACCTGTGCAGCTTCTGAAAAGACACGCTGACCTTTGCCCTGGGAATCCTCACTGAATCCTGGAATGGTCTAATGGTGAGGACAAGAATTTCTGGTTGTCTTCATTGCTTTCTGGTGCTGCGATACAAACCCCGCACCTGCAACTTAAAGGAGGAAAAGCTTATTTGATCTCCATCTCACTTCACAGTTAGTCGGTCAGCTCCAGGGCAGGATCAGCATGGCAGAGGGGCCTGGAGGAGAGCTGCTGGTGTCATGGGGGCCAGGAAGCAGAAGGAGGGCAGCAGCCGGGGGGGGGGGACACCCATCCCCAGGGACCCACCTCATCTGACCGGATCCCGCCTCCGAACAGCGAGTCAGCTGTGAGCCCATAATCCAGTCACTGTCCAAAAGCCACACCCACAAGCCTTTTCGGGGACATTCTTGAGCCAAATGATAACACGAGCACAGGCTGAATATCTTGCATCCAAAATGCTTGGGACCAGAGGGTTTCAGAGATCCATTTTTTGGATTTTGAAATATTTGCAGACTTTACCAATTAACCAAGCCTAATGGGAAAATCTGAAGTGCTTCAAACTCTGAAATGTTGGCGCATGGCATCTGCGCGCATGGTTTAACACAGCAGACTTTGAGGTTAGGGCTGCCCAGCCTGCACACGGAACTGCCTTCTGTTTGACACCGAGAGGAGACTTGGGAGTGAGAATCTTGCCTCACCAAGGGCTGCAGCTGTGTCAGCCCCGGCTGGAATTGTAGCAGGAGCCCTCAGGTTTGGCAGTATTGCTAGCAGAGGTGGCCTTGGCACCTGGAGTGGGCGTACAGGCAAGGGCAGCCTGATGGCCCGCTGTGGCTTTGATGAGAGCTTTGCCCACCATGCCGCCCAGGGCTGAGGTTTGTAGCCTGCGGTGGAAGCCACCACCCCCTAGCTCATCGCCTGTGCATGGCGAGATGCCATGGATCTGTTTTTATCAAATACACAATTAAAAAGTCTCACTATTAGGAAACTCTGCAGTGGAACATATGGGCTTCTCCCGACAGTTAGAAATTTCTTGGAGCTGCTCGGAGAGAGTAGTGGGGGTCGCAGCTCCCCAAGTGCAGAGCCGGCGATGACAATGGGAACTCACCAACCCGCCTCCTAAAAGAGCAGTCACCGAGGCTTGGAGATCCTGGAGCGGGGAGCCCCTCGTTTCTCAGCCCCTCCTTTTGCAACCCGCAATCCCAGGCTTGGAAAATGGCACTTTGCTGTGTATTGGCAAGAAATCCTGCAGCTGAGACACTTCTCTCCAAATGTCGACCATCTTTATTTATCCAAATCTCTCCACAGTGTTTGTTTAAAGGGGAGCGCTAGAGAGTAAACGAAATCTTACAATGAGCATATGGGTGGCTATAATTGCTGAGGTTTTTTTTCCCACATATTTGCCAACTCGCTATATATAAAACTGTGTTTCTATTTTCTAGATTTCACACCCCGCAGGCTAATTTTTCCATGCATATGATTTTCACATGAATGGATGAAAATACGAAAATACTCTTCCCTCTGGGATTGTCAAACTGCCCAACCGCGCCCCTAGCAGCAACGGTGGGCGGGGCAGGAGAGACCCCTGTCATTGTCTCTGACTCCCCACTGCCCTGGGAGCTGGACTGGCTCACAAAACCCATCAATGCTAGAACTTGGGGCACAGTGGACTCGGTCTTCTTCCCATCACCTGCCCTAGCAATCCATTTCGCCAGGGCGAATTTCTTTGAAAAATTTAAATGATGGAAATTCCATCTGCCTCGGAGTTAGCTGGGAAACATGAACTGCAAAAGCTCTTAAGTCAAGGGAGAAAGATACTTGGGTTTAGCCATTGGTCTCAACTTCCCGGCCCCGCCAAACCACCAACCTCTTCGTGTGCCCCCTGGTGGAGAAGGGAGGAAGCCTGCAATGGCCTGAAATGGGCGGGGTGGCTTTCCCAGTTGTCTAGGGGAGAGGAACTGAGGCTCCAGGAAGGGAACCATGTGTCAGGGTCACACAGGGAGGGAGACACCACAGTAATGCTGCAGTAATGCTGAGCAGACACCGCAGTAATGCTGAGACACCGCAGTCACCTGGTGCAGACTGGAACAGGGCTGTCCGTGGCCTCCGTGCATAGGGTTTAGCTGGCAGGACTCTGGTCCACAGGAGTGAGGAAGTTGCACTAGTGAATGACATCGATGTGACCCTCCTCTGGAGTTTCCCCTTGCTTGCCATGGTCCTTGCCAATTTCTGCAGCAGCTCAGCAAGTCTTTTCTGAGTGTCTTTCGGGGGGGTGATCAAAAACACAGGGAAAGTGGTGGCTGCGAGCCATCCAGCAGAAAGGCTCATAAAAACCCGAAGCCGTGTCCTCACCCGCTTCATTCACCGGATCTGGCACCATGCAACGTCCGGCTCTCCCCCAAAGTCAGAATGACGGTGAAAGGGAAGTGTTTTGAATCAGTTCGGGACATTGAGGCAGTCAGAGCAGCGAAACTAAAGACAATCAGGAAAGAGGCTTCCAGAGCTGCTCTAGAAAGCAGCAGAAATGATGGGATAAGAGTGTTTGAAGCATGCTGGGCATGAGAGTGCACACCTGTAATCCCAGCACTCAGGAGGCTGAGGCAGGAGGATTGTTGTGAGTTCAAGAACAGCCTGGGCTACAAAATGAGCTCCAGGCCAGCCTGAACTGCGTGGTGAGACCCTGTTTCAAAAAGACTTTAAAAAAAAGGAGTGTTTGAAGCAAAGAGTAGTGTTTTGAGAGGGCTCAGTAGCAGTGTGTCTTGTACTGTGATAAAATTTTAAAATATAAATACTCCATATTTTTTTAATCAGCCTACATATGAATCAGGCAGGAGCCAAGGCTGGGTGTTACAGGAGGTGTGAGATAGACAAAGCCTTTGCATCTGTGAGGCCCACAGGAACCTCAGGGTGGGGCCAGGGAAGAGGACAGGGCTCCAGGAGCTGCCCCTCTCAGGGAGGGTACAGATGTACCCATGGGGAAGGCGTCTCTGCCCTTCCTGCTCCAGTGCTGAAGCCCCAGGGGTGACAGTGAACTCATAGTCACCATGGCTTGCAGGAGGTCACTGGACCCAGGCCTTTGCCCTCTCCAGTCCCCACCTGGGATCCCAACCCTGGGTTGGCCAGGCACACTCAACAGGTGTCTTCCCACCGACTGCTCTAATGAAGCAGAAGGTGCCGGGCCTGGGCCTGGGCACCAGAAGCAGAGCTAAGTCTACTCTGTCAGTATCTGTGGGGGCTACAAGGAGGAGAAAACCAGGAAAAGGGATCATGCACAGGGGTAGGGGAGGTGCCATGCCATTCACATCTCCCAAGAGAGTCCTTTCTGTGGAGCAGCAGAGCTTACCCTGCAAAAGCAGGAAAAGCTTGAGCCATGAGAAGATGTGTAGACTGGCATTCTGGGCAGAGAGAGCCATGCTGCAAAGGCCCTGGGGTCAGAAGGTGCCTGAGAGGGAGCAGAGTCGGGAGCATTCAGGAGGAGGGAGGTGACAGGAGGCTGGATCCCAGGGAACCTCACGGGCCACAGCCAAGGTCAGCTCTCACTCAGATGGCTCGCTGCTGAAGGGTTCTGAGCAGCAGTGGTAGGCCATGACTACACACAGCTATTTTTAGTCTCCAGTTTTCTTCCAGCACCTGTGACCACAGCACAAAATCTAATAGACCCCAGACAGTGGTTGAACCTGCATGTCACTTTCATGCCAGCCCTAAAGGTCCCCCGGGTTCTGCCGAGGCCCTCACCTGGCTGGTGCAGCTATGTAATGTCCTACGTGCTTCCTACTATCCTCTGAGTCTCTGTCACTAACACAACCCTTTGTCCCCTGCAGAATTCCAGCTTCCTGTGACTGAACCTGACATCAACAACAGGCTGGAGTCCCTGTGCCTCAGTATGACCGAGCATGCCCTGGGAGGTACGTGTCCGTCCTTCGTGTCTTCCTCACCACGAGGTCTGCAGTCTGTACCCTGGCAACAGCACCAGGAAGAGGAAGGGGACATGGAGGGAGGGCTGGTGGGGACAGAGAGAAGCCAGGCTCAAGTGGACCCGCTTCAGGCCACATCCCTCCACGTGGCTCTGCAACGGAGGGGGCATCAGGGACCTAGAGACCAGAGACACTGTGCTGTCTCCCTTCCCCAGCAGCTCCGCCCCAGTGGTCCCAGCCAACGCAGGGAGCTAGGGTCACTTGCAGCTGGAACATCCACTGGCGCAGTGCTGGACACTTTCCTGCTCGGCCCTGGGGCCCCAAGGCCCAGCCAAGCACATCCCAGCATGCTCTAAAAATAGTCTTTGAAACAAAGATCCCTGCTTGTCTTGCTAACTCCCTGTTGCTGCTTGAGTGACACCTGGAGCCCCAGCAGCCTGCACTGTCCCTCCGAGTGTCACAGGGACAGGTTAGATGTGCCTGTCCCCAGCCAAGCCAGGAGTGTAGGCCGTCTGTGCAGGGCCCGAGGTACTGTGGCCCAGGGGCTCAGTCTGTGGCCATCCTGGGAGCCCTCAATGCCCTCCTGCTACTAAGCCTATGCCTGTCCCTGGCTATGGATTTGTGGGCAGCTGCAGACATGGGACAGGAGAAAGATGTCTCCCCCTTTCCTGCAGCCTCCTCAGAGTCTGGGTCACAGTCCCAGAGAGGACTGAGCCTTCTCAGCCCTCTCCAGTCTGCACATAAGTCTGCCACCCCAAGACAGGCCAGCACCCACCTAGGACTAAGCCCTACACCCTCTGGCATGGGTGAGCAGAAAGGCTGATGTCATCAGCTTCCGCTCCAGACAGCCTTGTCCTCCAGACCTGGGGGAGTTTTGATTAGTCTCTGTAAATACAATTTCGTCCTGAAACCAAATATGAAATACATAAATATCCTGCATGGAGCAGAGTAGAGGTCTAGGGCCCTCATGACGTCACAGGACTTCAGACCAAACAGGTGGGGAAAAGCCCCAGCCCCTAGGGTTCCTGCAAACTCCATTTATAAACCACTGCTCCCTCCCTGGCAGTTGAGAACCTAGAAGTTTTACAGCTTTCCTGGGCCATGCGTGACCATAGTGGCTGCCACTGGCTCTGCCCCTGTGCTTTACCAAGGAGACTGGGTTAGCTGACAGCCCTGGATGAGTCCTGGGAAGCCACCCAAGGGTGTCTCAGCGAGTGGACAAGAAACGAGGTGGTGTGGTGCAGCTACAGAGCTGGCAGCCTTAAAAAAAAGAGATGCACTCATCCTGCCACCACTGAACTTATGTCCCTGGGAGGGAAGGCCCTGAAGGCCCGATGCTCAGGCAGCCCAGGGCCTCCTGCCCCTGGCGGCCCCGGAATGGGTGCCCGGCTCCATGGAGAGTCGGCAGGACCACGGCCCCTTCCCCGAGGTTTCATGGAGCTCCAATAATTGGCAGTTTGGAAGCGCTTATCAAACTGAGTCCTAACATTACCATCATTAGCAGCAAGAATGCCACATGCTCTTTTATAAAGGAGAGGGCTTCCTGGGAAAGGCTTCTTTTTCCTTTTTTTTTGAACCTGCTCTTCTGTTTTTATAGAAGGCCTCTCTGAACTGATGGGCTTTTGCTCATGTTTTCATCATCTTAATCTCCTAAGCCTTTTTATTGCTGTGGGGTTTTTCTCAGTATTCCCTCTGTTGGGAGGTTGTGTAAGCAGTGTCCAGAGCAGAGGATGCAAATTCAGCTCAGGGTGGCCTGGCTGACACCATGACTGAGATGGTGATTGAGATGTTGCTCCACCAGCCAGCCCCTTCCTGTATGCAGGGAGGAAGACCTCAAGGGGACAGAAGACCTCAAGGGGGCTGCCAACGAATTGTCGCTTTACAGAAAGACAAATGACCAGGGGCAGGAAAACCCCTGCACCTCTGACCTCGTGTGTTGCTTTCTCTCCCAGACGGGGTTGACCGGACCTCCACAATCTAGAAGCTGAAGATGAGAGGGACCGCGCTGGCCGTGAACTCAACTTCAGGGTTGCACAGAATCCTCCAAGATACTCTGCAGCCTTTTCCCCCTGGTCCCTCGCCCATTTTGATTTTGTGAGAGTGTAGGTCATCCTTGTAAACATATCAGTAGACCTGGGATCGGTTACCTTGTCATTTGTTTCTGTATGGGATGGTTTGGTGTGCGGGGTGGGGAGGGGGGTCTCGGGAAATGTGGGACTTGGAGGGATGCAAGTGGCTTCCTAGATGTACATGGGGAGAGGGGAGGGTACTGCCATGAAAGAGACGAGAGCCGGACAGGAAGGAGGCAGAAGGCCCGGCCTGGGGAGCCTTCTCAGAGGACCTGGCTTCATAGTCAGGCCGCAGGAGGAGAGGATACATGTGACCAAAGCGGGGTGGCGGCTCGTCTGTGTGTCTCCCCTGATGACCGGATTCCCCTGAGCACCCTGCTGGAAACAGCTGCACAAGAGGGCCGTCTGGCAAGAGGCGGCAAGAAAGAAGAAATTCCCTCCAGCAAAATTTCAGATAGACTTTGATTTGTGTATTGTTTACATAAGAATTTTAAAGGGTACATAATGTGTCGCAAAGAGTTTGGGTAGAACTTCTCTTCATACTATGGGTTTTTTTGTAAAGGATTTATGGTTATGGAATTTTTTTCCCCGCTATTTTTATAATAGCAGCAGGGTTGTCTTTTAAAAACAGCTGCCAAGCTCTGCTGCTTGGGAAGACGGATGTGGTCCCCGCAGGCCTGAGTTGTTACCTGTAACCATTAGGGAGCGGAGCATGTGGGTGCCGGTGACCAGTCTCAGATCTGCTCAACGGTCACCCAGGTTCTAAACACCCTGCAGCCTCTTTCTGGGCTGGATTTGCTGTTCATCTAAAGACCTCTCTCGGTCCACCCCGCCATGGGCTTCAGACTCGCATCCTGGACCTCACCCACAACACACAGGAGGTGCATGTTCCGCTGCTTTTCCCCTGCCAGAGGCCGAGACCTGGAGAAAGCGCCCTGAATGTCTGCAGTGGGGTCGGGAGTAGGAACTGGAGTCTGAGGCTGTTGAGGATGAAGAGGAGAGAGATGCCCAGCAACAGTGTCAAAAAGAAGGTCAGCCAGCAAGTGTCAGAGAGCAGTGCAGGGAGACTGGGCCTCGAGGTCCAGCGGCACCGCGCCAGCCCGGCTAGGAGAGCAGGAGGAGCAGGAAAGGTGAACCTGGTGACTATGCGACCGTTCCATTCAGACCGAGGGAGTCAGAGTTGCCGTGTCACTGGCTGGTTCATCCATCCTCACTCATTCCGCGGCGGGAGGTTAACAACACACGGTGGTCCCTCTGTTTCTTAAGGACAAGGAAGGCTGCGCGGCGGAATTTGAGCAGTGAAGGGAATTAGAGGAAATCAAACAGGAGTTGTTTTCTGCACTGGGAAATTGGGTTGTGTAAGTGGCGGTGTGCACACTCAGCCCAGAGGCGAGACCAGGGAGCTGCAGAAGGCCTGCTTATTAAATGAGTGAAATCGGTACTTTTGTTTTTTGTTTTTTAAAGAGAAGTCAAAGTCAGAATCAAAGAGATAAGACCATGGAAATGACTGTACTTGCTTATGGTTGTTTAAAAAGTGACGTGCACATAGATTTAAAAGGCCTTAATAAAATCCAAACAACTTTCTTTTTATCAAGATCAAACATGTACACCCAGCCCGGCCTCGGAGGCCGTGGCAAGAGTTCTGAAGGCCTTTTGTCGTCCCAAAAGTGAGAGCACCGTGAGCAGAGAGCGCCTCTCCTGAGCCCCAGAAGTGGGGCCCATAATCACGTGCAGTGCAGTGGAAAAAACAAAAGCAAAAGCTTCCGACCTACATGGGTGTCGAAGTCCAAAAGATGGGAATCTGCGTGCAGAAGGAGGCAGCGTGTTTTTAGTTGATCTTTTTTTTTAACCAAGTGCCATTAACATCTGCCCCGCCTATTCCTGGGCTACGAGGTAAGGTTAGGAATGCGCAGGGCGGACAATCACAGGGAAGGCAGAGAGAGCAGGGCACGGCCAGAGGGTTTGAGGATGTGTTTGGGGGATGCTGAGGATGTTGAGGAAGAGGAGCGGAAACGGTGATTTCACACATCGTCTTGGGAGTGAGAAGAAAGCATTTGGATCTGCGGCAGAGCCCGGGTATGCGTCTACAGACTCGTTCAGAAAACAGATTGTGAATGCAATCACGTTAGCATGAATCCTTTAAAAGGAAGAAGACCTTAAAGTATTTGCAAATCTGAATTTCTATTTATTCCTTCACTGAATATAGAAACAATGGTTATCTGATTATTAGAGATATTATTTTGGATATGTTACTTATTAACTTGCTATGGCTGGTAACCATGATTAAAAAAAAGTGTTATTGATAACAACATAATTCTTTTTTTAAAAAAAGAAAAGAAAAGCTTATTTTTCATTGACTATGTATAGATTTATCTACTTAGTTGTGTTTTAGTGTTTTAGTTGTTTTTTTTCTTTTTTAAATGGAGTGTGCTGATGAATTCTAGGAGCCCGTCCCTACCTTGAGTCCTGTGTTGACTGCAGGTATACAGCTCAGTTTAAAAATCCTCAAGCAAAAAGAATTTTATTTATAAGAGAATCCAACCATTGCATGCCTAAGGCTGTAAAGTCGGATATTTAGTAACAAAGCGGCAGTGCCTTTTTTTGTATTTACCCATTGACCCACCCATGCAACTGTTTTATATTAAGTAAATAGTACACAATTTAAAAAATCTCAGAGTAAAGTCTATTTCACTACACGGATTTCCCCCACCCCCGTTCTGGTTTAAGCAGTGTGTGCCGGCATCTCTATGCCGTCCCAGGGACGGCGGCGTAAACGATATTGTTACCATGTATGATGTTTTATTGGTGCTTTTTACTCATAGTGGTTTCTTACCAGACGCAGTAGGAAGAAACACATGAACTGTGTACAGGACATGAAACATGCTGCTGATATGTTTTTTCCACTTGCTTCTTGAGTTTGACTTTTTCAGCCAGAGCCAGTGAGCCGAGGAGACCCTGCTGGGTCTGCCTGCCGAGGGGGCTGTTGGCTCCGAGCTCCTGAATCCTAGGGATTGAGGGTCCGCTTCTTGAGAGTTGGGGTCGGAGCTGCAGCTGGGCCCACCTCCCATTTTGAAGCGACACTGAGGGAAACCAGATTTTTCCTTTTGAGGTGTCGCTGGCTGCCTGCCTTTTACACAATGGGAGGCTTCTCTCCAGGCCTTTGTTCTGCGCCTCTTATGGCTTTGGCAGGGACAAGGTTTGCAGATTCACACCCCCCCCCACCCCCAGAAGCTGGGCTGAGGCTGAGCGGGGCTCTAGAGGGGCTGCCACAGAAGGGCAGCCGGGGGACATGCAGGCCCCCACCCGCCCACTCCCGCTCGGTGCCCTGTTAACAAGCATCACCCGCAGGAGGCTCATTTGCACACGGAGCTGTGATAACACTAACTGTTGTGCTCCCTTTCTTTCTTTTTTACAAGTCATCAGAGATGTTTGCAAAGTGAGTTTTATTTTTGTGTAATCCCTTTATCTTTACTTAAAGGTGAATGTTGTATTCCTCTGGGAGGAATAGGAAGAAAACAGGAATGTTAATAATGTCAAACAGAAGACTTCCTCCCTCATTAATATATAACCCTCATGTATTTATGCCTAATGTAAGCTGACTTTTAAAAAGCTTTCTTTTGTTGCATGCCCCGTGCAGGCATCTGTATTGTATATGCATGCATTTTTGTCCTGTTTTCCTGTATAAAGTTAGTGAACAAAGAAATATTTTTGCCTAGTTCATGTTGCCAAGCAATGCATATTTTTAAAATTTGTCATATATGGAAAAAGCATGTTTGTTACATGTAAAAGCTTTACTGATATACAGATATACTAATGTTTGAAGATGCTGTTCTTTGCAAGTGTACAGTTTTCAGATGTTACCAGTGAAACACCCTTGTGGTTTAAACTTGCTACAATGTATTTATTACTCATTTCCTCCCATGTAACTAAGAATCATGGCTATATTTCATATCAACGTTATATTGAAAGTGAAGGGAAATGATTAATACAAGATTTTGTAACACTGGTGTGTGTGGGTTTGCTTTTGTTTTTTTGTCAACATGATCAATTAGTAAGCAAGGACAGAGTCTTAGAAGTAAGCCAGCAGGGAAGCATTAGCATGAAATCCATTAATGTTCTCACTGGATCCTGCTACACAGACTCCATTGTCATGTATGAGCTCCTTCCTTAACAGGTGGGGAGAGGGGTATAGAAATTTATGCAGTTTCATCCGTATCCAGTTTTATCCGTATCCAGAATAGCCATGCCTTACTTTTCTTATTGCTGAAACAAAATACCCTATGCCCAAAGTTAAAGGAGGAAAGGTTTATTTAGCTCACAGTTTGTAGAAGTTTCAGTCCATACTTGGCTGGTTCCAAGGCAGGGTGACCTGGCAGAGGTACATCACAAAGGAGAAACAGTTCATGGCAGCAAAAGACAGCAAAATCAAGCAGGATAGGGAAACAAAAGCCTTTTTCTGCCCCTTTTATCTTATCCAGACTGCTGCAGTTAGGGCAGTGCAATCTAGATCCAGCAATCACCCACCCTTAATCCCAGCCCTGAACCATGAATCCATCACAAACTAGATTCCACTACCTCCAAAAAGGTCTCATCTCAAAGTGCATGAGATTTGGGGGGGACATTAGACACAAACCAAAACAAGCTGATAAATGCTGTCTGCATTGAGTAGTAAATCACTAAATACAAACTCCATAACTTGGCTGTTATTGTTGTGTGTGGCACCTTTCCACCTTTGCTGCCTTTAAAATATGTCACAGCACTGTTACAAAAGAAACAGCAGCCTCCTGGGAGATTGACCTCCATGTAGCTTGGAATATCATTCAAACACTTGTAATTCTAGTTTACTATATAATGTGTATTAAGAACAGCCTGTTTTCAATTCTGGCTTTAGCATTCTCTAAGCTGTGTGATCTTTTTTTTTAGTTCTTTAGCCACATTTAGTCACTTTTCTGTCGTTGATAAAATAGCTGAAATGCACGACTTGAACAGCTTGTGTGGCCTTGCGGTTTCAGAGGTCTCAGTGCATGGTCACTTGGCCCCTAAGCAGACGTGTCATGGTGGAAGGGTGTCACACAACACAGCAAGAGAGTGCCCACGAGGAAGTGGCCGGGGATGAAATACACCTTTCAAAGTCACAGCCACAGTGACCTGCGTTGTCCAGTCAGCCCCCATCTCCTGTAAACTTCAGCTGATGAAGTCAACCATGGACTAACTGTTCGAGGAAGTCGGGCTCAGCCCACTCACTATGGTGACATTTCAATCCAATGGAGCTGACACTTAGGACAACTGCTGAGCTTTGGATTTTTTATTTTGTTTTGGCTTTGATACTCAAAATTGATGTCTCGGCCTATGATAGGTTGACATTAGCCCAAAAAGGAGCAAAAACAAAACATGAGGTAGAGCTCACTGCTACCATAAGCTAGCGACCCAAGGGTTCTCTGAAGCAGCTGCCACAGGACATCGTGATGATGACCACACAAGTGACTCCCTCTCTGCCAGCCTCAGCCACTCCAGAGACGTGGAACATCCAGATTAGTCCCATAAAGAAATGCCTCAGAAGCTAAGATCTAAAAGGAAGTTTCCAGAAATTCCAATTCCAGGAATGCAAATGAGCTCTCAATATGACTGGAGTATTGTAAAGGGAGATGACACAAGAAAGAGGAGACTATTGGAACTTTGTCCCCAGCAGTTAAAGGGAAGGATGGGGCAGCACTTTTATTAGCAAAAGTCTCATCCACCGCCCGACTCTTCTCTGGGAAAACAGCCTTCAGGGTGGACCTGACCATTTCAGAGCACAGTGAGTGGTATTTCTCCATGACGTGAACCTAAAAATTCAATGTCTGAGAATTTCCTCTGTGGCATATTTTTCACACTTTTTTTCACTCTTACGTGGTTTCTGCTTTGATTTTTTTAAAACTCAGTGGAGGAACATCCTGGCGACCTTATAAAGCATACACTTTATAAAAAGACTGCTTTGTGTTTACATTCGACTCCAAGTACATGTTTTTTCAACAGTGTACTGCACATTCTTTTTTGAGGTTTTACTTTTTTAAAGTCCAATCCAGGAGAAACATGATCTGAGCCTCAGTGAGTGAATGAATGGGTCCCACAAAGCTTCTGGAACTTGACCCAGTCAGTGAACCCTCCTGGGGGAGCCACAGCCAGGCTGAATGTCCCTGTTTACTCTGAAGTCCTTAGGAGAAATTCCCAGGTTGTTCTGTGCCATGAGACTCTTTTAACAGGAGAGGGGAGATGAACCCACAAAACCCCAGATCAACTTTGTCCAACTGACCTCGCCACTTTGCTTTCTGATGTTTATCCCACATCTGATCAGGAAGAGGATTAACATTCAGCCCCAGAACCTGACCGGGTTTAACGTTAGCTTGTGACTCTGTGACTCATTCCAACATGTGAAGACAGCAGGACCTGGTGAGAGAAGAAGATGCACATGTGACAGATAAGACACTGCCCTCCATCCATTGCCGAACGTGCCAGTCCAACCTTAAGGGCAGGGCACAGCCTGCTATGCCTTTTCTCATTCCTTTGCTCCCCCATCAGAGGGCCAAAAGCAAGAACCATTTTTAGGGATGGAGCAAGGTGTTAGCTACGTTAGACCCTGCAGCTATCATCTGCCCGCAGAAACAACCTGAGCGGCCATTCATGCAGAAACTGCCTTCACAAGAGCTAGGGAAATCAGTTCTTGGGTTTAGCCAAATACTGAGAAAAGACACACTGAAGGCAACAGGAAAGAAAGAGTTGCCTGAATCACTTCTCCCCCAACTCTGAGCAACACAGCATGGAGAGAGATGGCTCCCACCTAAGGAGGAAAAGGAATCTAAGCCCACATGTTAGACTTGACACTCAGTGCCAGGCTGACGCCTGTGGTGCCTACTTCAAGGCCAGTGCCTGTGGACTCAGCCTCTGGCAGGTGACCAAAGAACTGTCTCCACCCCACTCCCAGTCTCTGCCAGCACACTAAGTCAGGCTGCACCTGCTGAGGGGTAGGACAGGGAAGTACGCGTAGGATTTTACATGGTAACTCAAGTGCCAGGCCAGTAAAATCCAACACTGGGCAGGTCCAATGGTCCCACCCCAAGATGGAGTCTCTGGACGTGCCCAGGTGCCAAGTGAAGACCCATGGCCCCAGGTAATTGGACTTTATTCCAGTCAGCACCCTCTGCAGCAATCTCAAGACCCAAAGAGCCCACAGTAGCAAGGACCTTGGTTCTGCTCCTGTGCTATGCTGATTGCAGACAGCTTTGGTTCCTGGGTGTAACATAGCATTACAGCATAGCATTCTTGAAATGTTTGATGACAGCTAGAATTCAGCAATGAGACTTTCTCTTCAGTGCAATGGACAGAGTAATTATCTGCTTGGCGAAAGAAAAGGGAAGAAGTCACTGAGTTGTTGCAGAGGAGCCTGAAGCCCCCTCAGGGAGGCCCAAAGCTGGGCAGGATCCCATGCATATGACCATAGGTAGTGACAAAACCTCTAGGCTTGCCCAGGCCCCAGCTGAAAGCTTGCTGGAACATGCTACCCTTCCAGGCACTCTCTTGGCTCATTCTGAAAAGCATATCAACTGTGGGTTCAGAACAAATTTGAGACTGGATTTCCCTCTAATGTTGAAACAGTGACGATTCCAACCATGAATTGTGGTGAACCTGTGCTTAAGCGCCATCTAGTGCTGAAAAGGCAGAAGTGACCTAAGACGGGCTCAGGAGAAAAGGAGCAGCCTGCTTAAAACTTCTCAAAGGACAAGAGCAGACATCATACACTGGCCAGCGTCACAAAGTTTCGGGAAAGCATACGTTCATCTAACAAAGTAAGTACCCAAATCCACCATGAAGAAATCAGTACATGCAAACTCAGAATTTAAGCAGATTCGATGAACTTCAAAACATAGAACTATAATGTAGTATTCTATTAGAGAAATGTCACAGAGAGATAAAAGTGACTTTTAAAAAACAGAAACCCTTGAGCCGAAATGTACACTATGCAAAATTTAAAAAACAACAGAAGGGGTCAATAACAGAATAGTTTAAACAGAAGAACCAGTGAGTTCAAAGATAGGCTATGTGAAAATGTACACATGGAGGAGGGAAAAAAGAGTGGAGTGGAATGAAGAACTCTTAAAGAGCCTTTGGGATGGCAGGAAATGAGCAAATTCTCAGGTTGTTAGGGCTCAGGGTCGGGCTGGGAATCCCAAAAGGTAAGGAAGTTTATTTAAAGAGATCATAACAGAAAAGTTCATGAATTTAGAAGAGGATACAAATATCCAGGTACAGAAAGGTGAAGGGCACCAGTCAGATTTAATTCAGCCCCAAAGGAAAGTCATTATGCACTGATAATAGGGATCAATTTCAATTTAGCAAAACGTCTACAGAACTTCTCAACCAAGAGCTCCAGGGTATGAGGCCTTCTTAGCAGCATGGGGCATGGTCCCCAGGAGAGATCTCTCAGACCTCAAGGCAATGATAAGAGAACTCTGGCAGTTATACAAATACATGGAAATTAACCAACTCAGCAACCACTGTATCAAAGAAGGAAATTTAAAAGTTTCTTGGAACAAATGAAAACGGAAACAGAACATACTAAGCCTGATGGGGAACAGCAACAGTAGCACCAATACAGAGATCTGTAGCCACCAGTGCCTAGCTCAGAACAACAGCCAGAATTCTCCTCAAGGAACTAAACAGAAGACCAGAACAACCCCAACCCAAAACCAGTATAGGAAAATAAGTAACAGGAATCATACCAGAAGTAAATTAGAAACTAAAGCACAGTACCAAAAAAAAACCCCACACACAACACAAAAGATCAATGAGATGAGTTTTTTGAAAAAAATAAACAAAAAACACTTAGGTAGACCAAGAAGGAAAAAGACTCAAATTAATAAAAATCGTGAGAAAAATTTTATAACTGATACCACAGAAATACAAAAAATTAATAAAAATTATTATGAACAACTATACACCAACAAATTTGATAATTAAGAAAGAGGT